TAGGCGATGAAACTGATGCATTGGACTTGACGGTTGTTGTCGAATCCGATGATCCTAATGAAGGCATTAGGGTACTCCTTCTTGCATTCTTGCACTTCCTTCAACACTTGAGCGGAGTCGGTGCATCCAAACAATGGAAGCTTCCACATTGTCCAGTACCGTCCATCGTAGTATCCGGGAGTGTTTCCGTGCTCACGGTAAACAAATCCGTGCTATAAACAAGTAAGAGAACCATTCAATACAATTGATATTGGAGAATTCACCCGGTAATATATAGTTTATTTCGGTTTTAAAAATCCGGTTACTGACTTATGTTTCTAGCAAAAATAACAATAATAAAGGATGATTAGAGACAAAGGAAAAGTTCAGTGTTTAGTACCTCCAACTCGAATTCAACACAAGGAATCCACTTGTTGCGGAGAAGGTAGTCAACTTCCTTAGCCAATTCGACGTCAGTAAGGTCAGGGAGGTAAGATAGAGTCTCAAACTTCTTCTTTCCGATTGGTGGCCACACCTATAATTCCCAATTCCCAATTCCAAATTATTGTATGTTTTGTTCAATTTCACTAATTGCCATGACAAAGACAGTTTTCATTAACAAAATTACCTTCATGCAGCTAACTCTTCCGCCATTGCTTGCGATGGAAGTAATGTCGTTGTTGGCCTTGCGGGTGACCGGGAATGCAGCGGATGACTTCAAGCCAGTGAATGGAGCGACCATGGTGGCTTGAGCTGGGGAGGTAACCACAGCGGCAGAGGAGAGCATAGAGGAAGCCATCACTACGTCTTGTTGTTTATCTTACTTACTTGTTTGTCGATTGATATATGGTCATCTTTATATAGTGAGAACCGCAAGGCAAAAGCCCTAATGATCAAAGGGGCCATAATTCATGATAACGTCGTTAATTGCCACAGGATTAAGGAAAGGTGTTGACACCCTTATCGATTCGGACCACTAGGATAAGACCAAGTGGCAGAAAACTCCATAATCTTATCTTTCTCTTGGAAGGGAACGAGTGAATGTGTATGGCTACTGGTCTCCACTTGATCGGTTGCTTTTGGCTCCTTTCTTTTGGGAGGTGAGGTGAGAAATTTAATACTTCTATCTAATTGTAGATATCGGTTTAATACTTTTTTTTACACAGATTAAAAAATGATTAAATTTCTATTACCTTGTATTAACACATTAATATTTTTATTTTCCCATTTGATTATCTTAACTAAAAAGAATATAAGTAAATTCTATTAGAAAAAACTACACTGAAAATATAAAATTACATTTTGTGTAAAACAAAAATAAAGTCTTGCAACGTTATTTTGTTAACTTTCTCACGTCTTCTTGTTCTTAAAACATGATTATGCTGAGTAAAAACCATTCACAGAAACTTACCCGGGAAAAACAAAACGTGAACATAATGAATCATCTTTCAATTCATCCCACACATTTTAAAATTATAATTAATTAAATAAGATAAGTTCTTCATCTACTAAACAATACTCCCTCCGTTTTAAATTAGTTATTATTTTAGAAGTTAAATTTTTTTTTTTAATTAGTTGTCTTTTTTTTCTTCTTTCAATGCATATTTTTGACAGATTTTCTAATTTGATCCTTACTTTCTTAGCTTATTAATTGATGATATCACATAAAGCAATACATGAATTAGGGGTAAAACAGAAAAATCGAATGTTTTCTTAATAAGCTTGAAAAATCTTTAATCGACAACTAATTTAAAACGGATGGAGTATTTTTTCGCATTTAGAAAAATAAATTGTTCAGCTTAAAATTGTTTATATACTAGGATTTAACCCGCGGTGTACCGCGGGGAAAAATTGTATTTTATGTATTTTATATAATAATTTATAATTTATTGTATTTTTAAATTGATATTATATAAAAAAAATCTCATTTAATTATTTTATATTATAATTAATATAGTTGAAATATGTGTACTTAGAAGATTTGTAGGTGTATAAATGATATAGTGTTAATATTGGCAAGTATTTATAATCATGGACTATTATAATAATTTGATATTATTTTGTATCGAAAAAATTTACCCCGCGGTATATTGCGGGTTCAATTTTTAAACTAAATATTTTAAATTTTAAGTTATATTTTTTTTGTTAATATTGTTTGGTTTATTTAATATTTAAGATTATATAATTATATTTTTATTTTTAATTATAGGTTTCACCCGTGGTATACCGTCACGTATAACCTCGTTTTGTATTCAGAATCATTTTGGTCCTTTTTATAGTATGACTCTGAACCATTGTCCAATTTTTTAAGCAATATGGGACATTGTACACATACTTTTTCTTCATCGATTGAGTAATATATGTCCGTTTTTAAAAATTTGAATCACATTATATGCAGAAAAATCTATTATTTTATTAATTATATGTATTTTATATAAATTCAAAATAAATTACTATAAGATCATATAAAAGTGAAAGAAGAATTATATATTAATGTTTAAATTTGGTAGAGATGTTTTAGGAAGCCACAGTTTCTAAAAGATTTTTTTGAAAATATTTTGTAATATTAATTAATATATAAACATTTATGACAATGGCATTCTATTGTAAATACTTCTCAACTTCAGAATTTATTTGCTAAATGTACTTCAAAAATGTATATATAGACTAGGATATGACCCGCGGTGTACCGCGGGTTAAATAAATTTTTGTTTGTGTTTTTTTATAACTTGATTATTTGTGTTATATATATTTGATTAAGAAATTTTTTGTTTATAATCTTATTTATTGTATTTGGTTTGTAGTAAAAGCTAGATTCTACCCCACGGTGTACTGCGTATTGATATTTTTGTAACTAAAAATTTTAAATTTTAAGTTGTAGTTGTTTTGTTAATATTGTTTGTTTTGTTTAGTGTTTATGATTGTATACTTGTATTTTTATTTGTTAATTCTAGGATTTTACCCGCAGAACATCATCCCGTATTAATATCAACCCAAACCCCTCCCATCATATAACTCTGTCCCGTGAAATTAAACATCATTTTGTTATTTTTCTTTTTAAAAATACTTTGTTTTAAAAACATATAATTCGAGTCAATTTAAATTTTGCTAATTCCCATATATTTATATTTTTAATTTTTATAGAGTTCACATATTATTAATATTATAATTTTTTATAGAATTGAAATATTATAAATACTTTAAAGGTATTATAAAGTTTAAATATTTAAATACTATCACAAAGTTCAAAATTAAATAAGTTTAACTAAATTATAAAAATAACTTAAAAATGCGTCCAAACAAAAATTGTGGTCAGGATTTAACCCGTGGTTTACCGCGCGAAAATTTTATTACAATTTTAATTGAAAAAACTGTATATTTAAAGTTTGTGTTTTTTGGTTTTTCATATTATTAGAATTGTTAACTTTGAATTCTATTTTTTTGATGTATATGTACGTTGTTATTATGTTAAATGACATAGTGTCACTCTACTATTGCGAAATATTAAATATTAGTGTAATGAATTAAATTATGGTTTGGTATAAGTAGATTGTGAACAATATAGGTATGATTGCATTATATTGAAGAATTCGTAGATTGTGAACATATATAGGTATATAGTAGATTGTGAACAATATAGGTATGATTGCATTATATTGAAGAATTCGTAGATCTTTCTAATAAGGAAACAAAATACTTAAGCGAGATTATAGCAAAAAATGTGATCCGCAAGACTTATTTACTATATATATTCTCCATATCTTTCAATAATCAGAGAGTAAATGTTGTTTGACTTGAATGTAGGGAATATCAATTAAGGAAATATGCTATTGAAACAAAGTCGGGTAAAATATCAAATTAGGCAAGATCCGAAGGTCAAGATTGCGGGTCAAATTTAATAGATTTCCGGGTCAAAATTTTGACCCGATTGGGGACCCCAAAAACTGTTGCAAAAATGTATAGTAGATATATTGATTTCGTGATTTCATAATTCAGTTATTTCTCTATTTATCTGACAAACGAGTCAATGCTAAAGTAAATATTAATAGTAGAAAAAAATTGTGTCGCTAATTATGTCGTATGCATTATGAGAGAGTTAATGGTCATGCCAATTTTCAAACTAAGAAGAGAAAGTTTAGTAGAGTTTATATCATTCTATTAAAATTATAATGTATGTTAATTTGTTTTTAAACTGGGACATGTAATCTAGTATTTTGTGTTATTAGTATGTACGATCACTAGATATGATCACATAATGCATATTGTTTAGAAAACGATCCAATGCTAGAGGAACCCACGCCGTTCCTTTCGGAGCATCACGCCATTGCACGTACGGCCCACTAAAAATGTGGCACCTCAAGATGATTTCCACCATGTCAACTTAAGCATGGAAGATATAACAGATTGTGGGGAACTTTCACATCACACTTAAATGTACGGTGTGGAACGGAGGCAATAATCCTCCCTAAGGCCACATGAAGAAGCTTTGGTCATGGATCCACGAATACCAATTTAAAGCTCACAAATGTCCCGTGAGAAGAAGCATGTACAAGGTACAAAATAGCCAAAACCGTTCAAGAAAATAGCGGGGAGAAGGTAGTCAACAATTGCTCCACCCACAGCACAATCAAATAAATCTTTTTTTTCGAAAGCGAGATCGTCCTATACCATCCATCTAAGTCACAAGGTACTGCCCCTTCCGAGATTTGATTGATTGAGGCATCTTTGTTATGATTTCATGTGCAAATTTTTTCGAAAAGGTACCTAAAAAGGTCTCTCTTCCATTATAGGTTAGTCTAGAGAATCAAAAGCAAAAATTAGGAGGGAAATTTTAAAAGGAAATAAAATGTTGGTTAAAACTTAAAAGAGCTAAATCGAAGATGAAAGAGTTTAAAGTGATATGATCAAAAATGAAATGATATGAATAGATATAATTATAGAGGAATTGATGGAAAATAAACCTTCAACTTTTTCACATTCTCAAAACAATTGCTCAACTTTTAAGTTGGCTATATAATAATTACTTAAATTTACATTGACCATACAAAATTGGGTTCCGGATAGTCAACATTGATATTCCAGAAAGGGATTTAATTAAGAATCAGTAAAGCTTGGGGGCTTGTAGGCAATGAAACTGATGCATTGGACTTGACGGTTGTTGTCGAATCCGATGATCCTAATGAAGGCATTAGGGTACTCCTTCTTGCATTCTTGCACTTCCTTCAACACTTGAGCGGAGTCGGTGCATCCGAACAATGGAAGCTTCCACATTGTCCAGTACCGTCCATCGTAGTATCCAGGAGTGTTTCCGTGCTCACGGTACACAAATCCGTGCTATAAACACATGACAAAACCATTCAATACTATTGATATATAGTCGAAGAGTGATCACACGGTGATAGTCTATTTCGGTTTTAAAAATCAGGTTATTGACTTATGTTTCTACCAATGAAAATAGATAATAAAGGATGATTAGAGAAAAATTAGGAAAAATTCGGTGTTTAGTACCTCCAACTCGAATTCAACACAAGGAATCCACTTGTTGCGGAGAAGGTAGTCAACTTCCTTAGCCAATTCGACGTCAGAAAGGTCAGGGAGGTAAGATAGAGTCTCAAACTTCTTCTTTCCGATTGGTGGCCACACCTATAATTCCCAATTCCCAATTCCAAATTATTGTATGTTTTGTTCAATTTCACTAATTGCCATGACAAAGACAGTTTTCATTAACAAAATTACCTTCATGCAGCTAACTCTTCCGCCATTGCTTGCGATGGAAGTAATGTCGTTGTTTGCCTTTCGTGTCACCGGAAATGCAGCGGATGACTTCAAGCCGGTGAATGGAGCGACCATGGTGGCTTGAGCTGGGGAGGTAACCACAGCAGCGGAGGAGAGCATAGAGGAAGCCATTACTATTTCTTCTTCTTTTGATCTTTTCTCTTACTTAATTTTTTTTCTATTGGTCTGGTCACCTATATGTAGTGTGAACCTGAAGAGCCAAAAAGCCCTAATGAGCAAAGGGTCCAGGGTTCATGATAACGTCGTTAGCTGCCACAGGATTAAGGAAAGGTGTTGACACCCTTATCTTATCTTTCTTTTGTGAGGAAACGAGTGATTGTGTATGGTTTACTAGTCTCCACTTGATCGGTTGCTTTTGGCTCCTTCCTTTTGGACCTTTTAATCTTGTATGTATTTTTTAAATTTGGTTTACCTTAATTCGGTTAATAAGTTCACAGTTAGTAAATACTATAACAAGAATATCTATAAACAGAGTCATGACTCAATATGCATATCACAATGTCAAAGCTGAAAGTTGAGATAAATTTATCAAAAGCATTACTCCTTTAATTAGATACAAAATAGGAAAACCGATAAGGGCAAAAATAAAATAGCAAAAGCGATCAATATATAGATTAGTCAAAAAACAAACATGTTTAAAAATAGGAAAGACCAAAAATGAAAAGATACACTTGTATAAAAAGAAATTGTCCCTATTGATTATCTGCAGATTAGAAGAAGGCCAATTCGAATAACGAAAGCAATGCATAGTCTCTTGTGGTTTCTCCTCGTCATTGGATTGTCCGTAGGGTTGAGTAGCGCAAAGTGGAATGAGAAAAACTCGGTCTTCTTTAAGAATTCTCTTGGTCGAAACAAAGTCTTGAAAGTAAATTGCATATCAAATGACGACAATCTAGGCTTCCATTTTTTGCGTCCTGGAGAAACCTACGATTTTAGTTTCCACGATAGTCTTTTCAAATCAGAATTCTATTGTGACCTATGGCAAGGCCCTAATTTCAAGTTGCATGCATCATTTATGGCATATGAAGGTGGTGGTTTTATAGTTCATTATGGTAAAAAGAACTTTTGGGATGCTAGAGAAGACGGGATCTATTTCACCCATGGCCAAAAAATGCCCAAGTTAGAGTATAAGTGGAAATAATAATTAACCACTCAAAGAAAGATTGAATTTAACTCATCTTTTTGTTTTATTTAGGTGGGCTGCCTTTAGCAATACATCCTTACTATAGCAGTTCAATTCATATTATATATCTTGTTCTTTCAACCTTTATATGTAAATGTATCTTATTATACTCCCTCAGTTTCAAAATGTAAGATATTTTGACATTTTATTTTTGTTTCGAAATGTAAGACGTTTTGTTATTCTAATGTAAAATAATAATAATAGAATTCAAAAGCTGTTTTTATTAATTACATGTAGTATAACATATTCTTTGCTTTTATTAAATGCTTTAAAAAGAAAAAGGAATATTTAGATTAAAAATACTCTCTCCGTTTTATATTACTTGTCGTTCTAGGTTATTTCACACAAATTAAGAAAACAATTAAAGTTATTGTTTTACTTCTAATTAATACATTATTTTGTTTGATATAAATAATTAATAAGCTTAAAAAGTAGGGTTAAAACTGGAAAATTTGTTATAAATTTGTATTGTAAATATAAAACGACAAGTAATATGAAACAAAATTTTAACTCTAAAACGACAAGTAAAACTAAACGAAAGAAATATAGTTTTTATTAAGTTGCGTGGAAAACCTTAAAACGTTTTACATTTTGAAACAGATGGAGTATTAAAGTTAAACTTTGTGGGTATGTGAATTTTTCAATACGAAAACTTCCAAGACTTACGTCCTAACCTAAACTAATATTAATTTGCACCTATATGCATGCATGATTATGTGAGAAGACATAGAATGATCACCCAATCGTGTAACTTTCCCTTTCAAATGCTTCTATCTCTTTTTTCTTTTCTAGCTTTTATACATCACATATAGCACATCAAATTTTCGTTTAAAATTATGGACTGCTTTATTTATTCGATCAAAAATGATCAAATGAAGTGTATATAACTTAATCTTTTACCAAAAAAAAATGAAGTATATATATATGAGCTTCAGTATTATAAATTGACTGCTGTGCTAAAAAATTTAAACAAAGTTCTGCATATGATTACCAATAACGTGAGATGAGATCATCGAGATGATGTAAGTGCTGATTTACTTAAGCTTTAAACTCAAACCCCTTGACAATTTTTGGAGTAGTTCATGTCACTATGAAGCACTTGTGATTAAACTAAAGTTGGGTGATTAAACTCAAACCTCTTCATAACTCATAAGTGCTCTTTTTGGGTAAGTTTCTTCAAAGCGTTTAAGAACAATTTCAACATTGCTAATTATGAGATATATGGCAACAATTCAAGCCATTGTTTTATAAAAATTCTAGATGTTTCGCCTAACCACTCGATACTATAATGGGAGTGAAAGCCTTAATATTGGAAAATCAAGACTTTCACATAAACAGAGTCACATGACTCGTAATGCATATCACTAATGTCAAAAGCATTAATCCTTTAAATAGATGTGAAACAGCAAAATCGATAAGAGCAAAAAGAAAACAGCAAAAGCGATCAACAGATTCGTATTAGTCAAAACAAACATGTTTTAAAATAGGAATGACCGAAAACTAACGAATAACCATGTAATACACTTGTATAAAAAGACAATGTCCCTCTTCATTATCTACAGATTAATTACTTCTAAATTTAAAAGAACTATAGAAGGAAGGCCAATAATTCAGACAGTCAACAATGAACCGTCTTTCGTGTTTTCTGCTCGTTATTGGATTGTGCGTAGGATTGAGTAACGCAGATTTAAAATGGAATGAGAAAAACTCGGTATTCTTCAAGAGTTCCCTTGGTCGAAACAATGTCTTGAAGATTCATTGCACATCCGGCGACGACAATCTAGGCTTCCATTTTTTGCGCCCTGGACAAACCTATGATTTTAGTTTCCATGATAGTGTTGTGAAAACAGAATTTTTTTGTGATTTATGGCAAGGGCCTAATTTCAAGTTTCATGCATCGTTTATGGCATATGAAGGTGGTGGTCTCATAGTTCATTATGGTAAAAAGAACTTTTGGGATGCTAGAGAAGATGGAATCTATTTCACTCATGGCAAAGAAATGCCCAAGTTAGAGTATAAGTGGAAATAATAATTAACCACTCAATGGATGATGGAATCTAGATCATCGTTGTTTTACTTTTAACAAAAACTTATTGTTCTTGTGTATTATTGTGGAAGGGAAAACCTTTGAAATAAAATTATCGAAAGTATGTGAATTTTTTTCACTACGAAAACTTTCAAGACTTATGTCCTCATCTAAACTAATATTTGTACTTACATGATTAATGAATAAGGTAAATTAAATATCTCCAAAAACCGAATTGAGAAATGATACGAATTTTATTAAGATAACGATAACATAAACGAATTACAGCAACATTAATTGAAAATATTAATCATGAAGGCATGATATGATATTTTTTTTTTAATTCAATAAATCGGTCGTAAGTGCTTTCGGACAATAACGATTTATAAATCCCATGATACAATAGATCACGAACTAATACCCGAGCACACGAGTAATAGACTCAAGTAAACTTGATCTACGATATACTTTTGAATAAAACTAAAGAACTTACTCTTGGACGAAGTTAGAGAGAAAGAGATGATTTTAGAATTGAGAGTGTTTTGTGTTTGAAAGCTTGTGAAATAATGAGAGGCGAGCTTCTCTTTACATAGTAGAAGGAAGTAGGTTTCGAGAAAATATTTTCAGAATATTCCACAAGTTACTTGAAGTGAAACTCAAGTTACTTGAATTTCAAATTTTTTCTAAAAAATATAAATAAATAACTTGTTTGAAAAACTGTCGTTTTCTCATTTTTTCTGTAACTTTTTTGTTGGTTTGTCTTGTCTCACCTAACACCTCTTTAATGAGCCTTATAATGTAAATATCGGTGTCAATTTTCGTCTGACCCATGAAAGCCCATTGTTTTGGAAGACCCATTCTTTTTTGTGTGTTAGTCAAACCCAACAACATTAAGCATTTGAAGAAGATTTCAACCCTCATTGGACAAATTTGGAAACGATTCTCTTACAGTCTTACTCCTCACCGTTTTTTATCAATCTAATTATTTTTTTTTTTTCTCTGTCTTGTAATATGTGTGAGTACCTAGTGGAATAACACCATTTAATATGTGTTACTCCATTTAAAAAATGGTGCTTCTCATAAAATGAATGATGGATTTATGATGCTTAGATAAAGATTATGGTCAATCTATCTTGGTTTCTACATCTTAAATGTGTTAATTACTTGAATTAATTTAGTCACTTGATTAACTCTTTTGCACATAACACGAAAAATTATCTAGTTGGTTTTATATATGTAACATAGTTAGACGTATTATTAGTTTATTTAAAACAGTTGTACCTCGATTGCCTAAGAATAAAAAAAGGAAAAAAAATCGAAAATGAAATTTCGAAGGAAAAACTACGAGGTTTATGTATAAAATTTATAACCTAAAACCTCTGTCAAAAATATAATTATTAAATATTTCTCATAAAATATAGGAAACACAATTGATGTCAATTCGTATAAGATAAGAAAACAATAGTATTTTCACATTTCCACCAAATCTTCTATATATGATCCTAAAGAATTTTTTTATCTTTTGATAGTGGAGGGATCTTTGTTTATCATCGTCAAACAAAATACAGTATCACTATTTAATTTAGATACACATGCGTGTGCATGTTTCATATAATAAATCTTTTCTAAATTGAAGAGGAAACATATATACTCGCATATGATTACATACATGACATAGAGATCTAATTTATTATTCCGAATCTTACAACAACGAAAAAACTGATTTGCATAGGATTGCATCGATTGATTGCGTTACGGAAAAAAAATGATCAAAAGATTTCTTTAATATGTATTTTGTTGGAGCGTATCAAAAATAATGACGATATGTTTTCGACTTGTCAATTCAGAAAAATGTAACAATGAATTTTTCTAAGTCCCATTCGAGCATAATATTCATTGTCAAACGTATATTATTTATATTATTTCTGTTTTTAAATAAATAAAAAATATTTACTGTTTTTCATACGTACATATTAAGAAATCATTTAGTTTTTTTCTACATTAAATTTTTTAATTATCTACATAAATACTATTCAACCAATACTGCATAGTACAAACGGTCACAAAATTGTTTTTAAAAATATAAATTTACATTAAAAATAGAAACCATTATTTTCCATTAAACAATTCGTTTTGCCTAAAGCATTTATTTATTAAGACCAGAGGGAGTACCGAACCGCTTCAAATCATATATGTAAACAACATTCCTCAGGAATGGTTTTTCTGAGTATTAATTAATTTCGGATGACAAAAAAAATAAGACCAGAGGGAGTAATAATTACGACTTATATCTATGATAAGTTTCTCAATGTTCATAAAATAATTTAATTTCATATGTCAACTAGAAGAAACAAATTATATGAGATAATTCACATTTGCGTTTAGAAGGCAAACCTATATTCAAATTTTGAATGAAAACACAGAAGGCAACTCAAATGTGCAAAAAACATCATGATATATACGTATGAAAGAGTTTATATATCTATTATTTTAAAATCATGAACTTGATGAGGTTTAGGGGATGTATGAAAAGAGTTTAATTATATTTAGGTCTTAATTAATCGGATTGCATGGAAGAAAAAATAATTAAAAGATATAACTATTAGTTGCCATTTTTCTTTATTTATGAAATCAATGTCAAAGTTACTGACCACATTTTATTAAAAAAAATTTATAAGAAGAGAAGCAAGAATCAACCTTAGTCATTGTAAGTGCAAAGGCTACCACCAAACTTAACCAAGAAAAATAAAATATGAACTCCTTTTCCCCCATCACTAATCATTCTTTTTGTTTCTTTGATTATTATATATCTTGTTTTATGTTTGTTTATTATTTAAAGGCTTATCTAGATTAAACCCATCTAAATATAACATTATGACTTTTATTATTATTGAATTTTCGACTTCACTTTCAAAGCCAATAAAGGTGATCGATGGACATATGCTTTTGGCCATATGCTAGAGTTTGATACCATTTGCAGTGTCAAAGAACAAAATATGACCTTACACAAATACAACAGTCACAACCTTTTATAGCTTTCTTCGTTTAATTTAGAACTGAGAAGATTTATTTGTATTCGTACAACTAGTCTTTATTGAATAAATCAAAACATAAGCTTTAATTTGGCCTAAAGTAAACACAATCATTTGGAAGATGTGGAAATGATATAATACATTAGTTCGAAATCTCTTTTTCAGCCTTCTTACTTCGAATCCGAACATTTAATCTACTATATTTTTTTGGCATATTATTATTAATTGGTTTTTGAAGTTTTGTAAGTATGTGTATAAACAAGTTTAAGAATATCAATTCAAAAATTTTTGTCATCAATATATATTTTTCTTCTACCATAGATCATACTAAAATCTTTTTTACTAGACAAGTTTATGTTTGAAATATTCTAGGAAAGAAATACAGTATATTCAAAACATGTCAAAACAATCATGCGGGTTTGAGTTTGTTCTCGTTACACATTACAAAAAATCACTGGTATGTAGAAACACACATAAAAAACGATAGAAAATGTCTTTTTGAGGAAAAAGAATTAACATAATTTGTTGTCATACTACTAAAAATACCTCAACCCCAAAATCTTTCCTCTCCCCGTATTTTACCAAGGCATTCCAAATCACTACTTTAACCGCAAAATCCTCATGAATCCAATGGCTTCAATATCACTTGAACTCCATACTTAGGTTTTATAGTAAGCACAACGATTGGGGCATGCCTATAATTCTTTGATATTGTGAAGTTAAACTTAGAAATTAGCGTCGCTAATATTATTTTTGCTTCCATCAACGCAAATTGTTGTCCGATGCAGTTTCGTGGACCGGCTGCAAATGGGATAAAATGTCGACCAGCCGCGAATGGTCTGCCTCCAAAACGTTCGGGGTTGAATTGGTTTGCGTCTTTACCCCATAATTCTTCACTGTGATGGATCGCAAGAACCGGTATCCATATTGATAAACCTTTTGGAATGGTTAGATCACCTAGTTTTAAATCTTCAAATGCCATCCTTGGTAAAAGAGTAGCTGGAGGGTAAAGTCTAAGTGACTCATTAATCACTTTGCTTAACTATTGCAAAGAGAAGAAAAAGACAAAGAAGTTAGTAGAATATTCTATTAATTTATTTTGGAATCATATCTTTGTGATCATGCGAAGTGCCTCTTGACTCTTTCTCAAACATCTTTTAGTTTGGGAATTGACTTTTCCTTTTGAAAAAAGACTATCAATGAAGCTGTCAAGATCTAATCATTAGTTAATACAGGTTCAGATTTTTTGAGATAATATTTTATGCAAAGCATGCCTTAGTGCTAATCACTAAACAAATGGAAGACATATCTTATTTGTGCCTGAAAGATCTATTTACCAATCTCTATATCGTATCAAATCTCAAAGCTGGCTTAACCAATGTTAGTGATATCTAAATATTACAAGTTTACAACTATTGGACTAATCAGAAAAGTATGATTCTATGTAACATCGGTCATAAACGACGATTGATCCCATGATGCATGATTTCAATAAACATAGGCATAAGTAAAACATTTATTTAGATTCTATATAACTAGGATTAAAGATAAAGCATGAAGACAATATTAAATGATATCTACTCATTAGGGTTCTTCTGTGCCGACTATGACTATGTTATAAGCTTAGTTATGGAAGAAGCACTACGATGCTAGTGGCATTGCCTATACTGCGTTAAATGTTACTACCCCACACGCACCCATCCATCCATCATAAAACTAATTCTACTAGTTCAAATAAAATAATAAGTTACTATAATATATAGTTATATAATTATTAATTGGAGCAAACAACAAATATCATCTTTTTATATCTATGAGTTAGTGGAGTTCGAGTCCTACTCAAAATCTAAACAATGTGGTAAGGGAAAAACTTAAGGTTGAAAAGTTGAAGCCGTCACTGATGGATTAGTACAAGACCGTATTTTTATGTTTTTTTTTTACAACACCGAACTCATGAATGGTGAGCCAAAAATGGTCGTAACCGCGAGTAGACTACTACGTCTATGTATAACTTAATTCCTACGTTGACTATGAATCTCACAATAAGTTAAGACTTAGCAAGAGAAGGATTGATCTTAGGTCTAACTTTAGAAGTTATAAATTGTGTAACATGTATTTAAAAGTGAATGTACGTACCGAGGTTAGCTTGGATAGTTGATCGACCGAGGGAACGCCATCGCGGCCAAAGACCTCCCTAACCTCCTCACGGACTTTTTCCTGCCATGTGGGACTATCCGCGAGGAGCATCATTGTCCATGTGAGGAGCAAAGCCGTGGTTTCATGGCCAGCAAAGAAGAATGTCTTGCATTCATCCATTATCAACTGAAGATTGTTGTTGTTATTGTTATTGTTCTTGTCGCTATCCATTTCGTTCAAGAGAAGCCCGAGAAGGTCGTCTCCGTGAGTACTACTCCGACCCATCTCAGCGCAGTCTCGCCGGCTTTGTATGATCTCAATCAACAAACGTTCCACTTCCTTTTTCAGAGACTTGATCTCTCTGTTGTATTTGCTTGGAAGAAACCTAGATACAAAAGATTTGACATTAAGTCAACTTTTGACCATTGTTAAAGGTTAATCCTAAAACATTATACGTTTTAAAACATGATAGAGGATAAATAATGACAAAAAAAAAAAAAAAAATTGCTACACAGCCGAGAATCACAACAAATAAAAAACTAATTTTCAATATCTATAACTTCTTTTTAAGAATTTGTATGGTGGCAGCGGATGACGGTCTAGTATGTTTTGTCCGCTGCCACCATTCAAAAATTCAAACTTCTTCAATCACTAAAAAATAGAGATTAATTACGATTTCTCGGGTTATAAAGAAAACCAACCGGCTGCCGGGAAAGCAGAGGTGGCGGGTGGCTTGAGCGCAACGGCGCTGGAGGACAGTGAGGTGGTTAAATAGCTCTTTGCCTTTTTCAAAGCTGCTTCCAAACTCCGTCCTCGATATAATATCAGCAGTGAGTTTATGCATCTCTTCTCCTATCTCCAACTCACATCCTCCTTCCCCAACTTCCTTCCTCAGCCTCTCCACTAGCTTGCTTGTGCACTCCACCATGTGCCTTGCGTATCCCTACATCATAAGGTCATTCAAAGTCAAGTAATATATATATTGCTTCTTTTTTTTTGCATGAGGTTATTGACGTGCCTTGAGTCTTTCTCCGGTAAATGCCGGTGCAGCAAGGTGGCGTTGGTGGTGCCAATCTTGGCCATTAGCCATAAGGAGACCTCGACCGATAAAGTTCTTAGTCCCTTGTTGTTGTAGCCACGATCTTCCACTTACACCGTTGTGTTTCATTAGCAACTCCTTTATCAATTCCGTTTCCGTTAAGCAAAGCCGAGGATCCGTCCCGTTCCACACAATAAATCTCTTCCCTGTTTCACCAAAACGTATTATAATCTCTAAGCCTTTGTAATCAAGTTTAAAGGCCAAACATTCTTCGGAAAAAAAATTACGTGGAGGGTATTTCCGTCATTGTATTATGTCACTTAAAATTAAACGAACCAACTTAATAACAAAATCTATGTTTAGAATTCATGACCAAGAAAACACAAATTTGTTACAATTCAAGACCATACCGTATTGTTTTGACCAAGAAACGTAATGCGGGAGAAGGCGACCGACGATGTCATGGTGAATAGAGTCACAATCCTTGGAAGTGGATTGCGAAACCATGGCCGAGATTTCGAGGATATTTCCGGTTAACAGGCGCGGTTTAGGACCGGTCACGCCTTGCCGTTCCATGATCTTCTTGATTCGCCTAGGTGTTAGCCAGTAGCACGATATGGTGTCGTATAAAACTCTCAATATCATGGTCACGAATATCACGAGGAGTGATTTTAATATTGTAAGCAACATTTTTGGTTTTTGTTTTTGTCCAGCAACAAAGATTCGTAGAGAAAAACAAAAAGATATTAAGAGGGAGAGAAAGAGAGTAATGGTGTATTTATAGTGTCGAGATACAATATACATTCATGTAGGGTACTAAATCTGGGAGAACTAATTATGGTACTTTGTTACATTTTCATTTGAAGAAATGGAAGATATGGAGAACTAAATCAGTAAATTTCGTTATTTCTTACCTTGCTTTGCTACACATTTCCATTTAATACACATAAATTTAAGAGAGATATTATTATTACAAAAAAAAATGTTACATTTCACAAATACCACAACTTTGGAAAGTTTCCAAAACTACAAAATATTTATGTTTACGAAGGTTTCCTAAAAGTTGAAGAAATAAACTAGTATATCCCTAAATTTTTAAGAACTATTCTTAAATTTTAAATTTTATGGTACATCCTAAAAGTTTAAGAAATATGCCTAATAAATCATTTAGTATTTTGGATTTTGGTAGTAATTCTAGAAAACAATATACAAATTAAAAAAAAAAAAAAACTCAATTCATGAGAATCAAAAGAGAAAAAAGGAAACTTATATCAAAAGATAAATGTTCGAAAATAGTAATTACAGATGGTAAAACCATATTTTATAATATTCAATCATGAAAGTATAATGCATGCCAAAAATTAAATTTTGCAAATCAAGTTGGGAAAAATACGTTTTAAATGTCCATTATTTCATTGAGGGTATTTATATTTTTAATTTACTCATATATAGTGAATTTTTATTTTTTTTTGTTTTTTGTCAACAACTTTATTAGATTAGTTTAAACTTTAAACAAGCCAATGTTGAGGAATATTTTTTACGTAGGTAATAATTTTTGATTGGGTACGAACAGTTCGTGACAAGTTTTCCGTTTTTACATTCGCACGTCGAAAAATCAAAGATAAAGAGAAAAAATCAAACTCATCTTTATCGCTTTGAATCGCCTCTAGATAAGACGAGAAAGCTGGCCATTCCATCGGAGAATACACCATCTTCACCAGGTCTGAGCAGTCTATACAGAAACTATTTCTCGCTTGTCTTGACCGATCATTAACTAGATATTATTTATTTTCTAGTTAAATAACCAATTTTCATTAACTTTATCACTTTGTTCACATCGTTAGTCAACTAACAGAAGAAACTAACGAGGTTAATTCTTCATTTTCATTCTCTGTTAAACCAATTATGTCGTTGTGATATAAAACTTTTTTTAATGCAACTCTAAGGGGGGTGTATTGGATTAAAGATTTTAGATGATTTGAGAGAATTTGTATATTTTAGGTTTTTGAGAGACTTGAGTAGGTTTTTAAAATATAAGGTTGATTTGTTAGATTTTTTTGTTTTAAAAATGGAAAAATGATTGGGGATTCTGGTGAGATTTACGGGATTGATTTAGTTTTGGGGGATTTTGGGATATTAGCAAAAAAAGAAAAAAAGAAGAAAAACTGGGTTTAGGCCTTCTCACGTTGGAAGACCTAAAGTGTCAAGCATCAAGCGTCAAGCTAAGCGTCAAATTGAGAGAGATCACAATCCTTTCCTTGCTTCTTCTTTACTTATGAATCAATGAATCCGATTATTGAAAGCGTTTCTTATTTCACAATTGAATCCCTAATTTTGAGCATATTAACAATGGGTTTCTGAAAAATAAACCATTCATAATGTTTATCACTTCGAAATTGCAATCGTTCAATTTCCCAGATTCATCAATTTGTATTGGTAGTTTCGTGCAAATACATTCCCCAGTTACATTTGCCAGTTTTTATTTTAACTCTTTTTAAAAATAAATTCTCTCAAATCTCACCTCTGGAGGTGTGATTGTTTTATTATCATTTTCAACTAAAAAAGTATCCAAAGTCTTTCAAAATCCGTTTTTGGTTTTTACTTTTTTAAAAATTGTTTTGTTTGAATAACAGTGGATTTGATATGATGTTTGTAAATCCTTGATTGAATAACAAGGGATTGTAAACTATTTGGAATGATTTTACATAAATTTCAATTTCAATAACATGGGATTTGAGAAGAGATTTTAAAATCATAAATTGAATAACAGGTGATTTTAATGAAAACCCAAAATCTTCACAAATCCAAGTTTCAATACACCCCCCTAAGAATCGACTAGCACCTAATATACTGATTGAGCTGAGATGTTCTATTTGTTATTTCACAAACATATGTAGTTATATATATTAATATAAAATCTCCAAATTGTAAAAGTGATTAACAAAAACATATATGAATATCTATTTTAAAAATCTAAAATACATGTGCATAAGGCGGATCCTAATCTAGTAAATCTATAATTTTGTTTTCAATATTTTGACCAAAAAATTTCTTGTTTTTGGTCGATGAATTATTTGGATAAAAAATTATTTTAGTCATATGTTGCAATTTATCGATCTTCAGAGCATTAGGTCTTTATGATTCTACTTTAAGTCTTTAACCAAAATCTGTACTTCTAGGAGATAATAAAGTTTCAAGAATTTGTTTCTGAAGCCAAAAAAAAAGAAAAGAAAAAAAGAATGTGTTTAATACAAATAAAAAAACAATGTGCTTGATATAGGGGGCAACATATGGGTTAATCTGATAGCTATGACCTGTGGCACTTTAACATTCGGGACATGATTGCACAACACAAAATTTCATTAAAACCTTACGTTTCCTCTCATAAAAGGTTCAATCTCTACCTTAAATTTTGAAATCTAAGTCATAATACAATGCATATGCATTGGAATATAGTATATACCAACATTTGGTAGATCTGGACCAATTACAACAAGTCTGATGATAAACCACCGGTTCTGTCTAGCTAGATTCTACTGTGATGATCTTGAATTGGACCCTAAACTACATTCAATTTAGCCAAAAAGACAAAGAAAACAAAAATGGAACTAAATTAAACAACCTCGCTCTCATGAGTTCTGTCTTTTGATTTCAGATGTGTTTCTTTTCTTTATCAGAGGACCTGAAATGACTTGACAAAGTCCACTGCGTATAGTTGGTGTAAATGGCAAACATTATAAAGTATGAGAAACAGAGAATCATGATCAGTGCTTCAAATAGGAAAGGGTACTTTTGAGGAGGTTGAGTGGTAAGGTAGAGGACATGAAGAACTACGGAGATGAAGAAATGGGTTCGTAGTAAGAAAACATAACCCGGAAAGTTTTTAAAGGAGAAACATGAAACGTTGGTTTTCTGTATAGAATGGTGATTCCCGGGTGAATGATAGATGATGGTGAAGAGAAACGTTAGTGTTAAGTAAGGGATCAAGAGTTTGTCACGGCAAAGGAGAGGGAACATCGAGAAGAGAGCGTAATAGGTTAAATGACTGAAATGTTCAGGAGTTTGAGAGCTAATAGTGTTGCAGAGAGAAAAGGCATCAGGATTGATTTCTCATGCACTGCAGATTCAAACACAATGAAAGAAACAGGGACTGTTAGATATTGATTGATGGAAAATATGGTGAAATTGAGTGTGGAGATTGAGTATCAAATTGAAATATATTATACCTTGGAAGGAAAACATGTAGAAAGCCATTGAACTGTTGAGCAAGCCATATAGGAAACCTTCATTGCTTGGTGACAAGATTTGCTGGACCATTGAAGGGAGAGAAGCCAATACAGTTGCAGCTGAGCTAATAGATTTGAGGGATGGTGTTGTGAAGAGTTTTTTCCATTTTATGAGTATGGAAGTAGTGCACCAGAAATTTGCCACGTAATCCTCGTATATTCCCCTCTCAAATGGAGCAAGACGGGAGAGAACCTGCAGCATCAGCAATTTGCTTCACATTAATGAGCAAGAAAACGAATGAGACCTACTGATATGCAATTTACATCAGAGGAGGAAGCAAAAAGTACAATTTCTTAGTTCTACCAGAGACAAATAATTAGCTTTTCTTTCTTGATAAATCATCAAATACATATTTACCATTAAGAAGTCGTCCAAAGAATGCAGATATGGCCACCAAACAATAACAAATGTCACTATGACTGCAGTTCCAAGCTTAATCACAGAAAGTACTGGGCTTTTCCGTCTTAGGCATTTACCCAGTAGATGGCTGAAAAAGGCAGGAGCAAAGTATGCACTCATCTGCAACATCGACACAATGAAATAGAAATATGAAACTATAATGAAGTACATACATAAACAAAGGGGCATATCAAGCACCGCTTAAGATTAACAATATTGTATGTATAGAACATTGTACGGAAATGCAATTATGGGCAGTATGTATGCCCATAAACACTACACTACAACCTCAACAAATTAAACATTTTGATATAACGGTAGCAACTACTCATATTTTCAAAGGAATTGAAACCATCCAGTTTTCAGTCAATGAGATTGGAAAAAGCCATTACGTGTCAGATCATCTACTAAATAACTAAAAGGGATTGGCGCTAGCTTAAACCTTCTGTAAAATAGAACAAAGTATACAAACATTCTACTAGGTAAACACAAGAACACAGAAGTAGAATCTCAAAGTCACCTGTTTATGGCTAAGAGCTAGACTGAACAAAACACAAGTGAGAACCTCGCTCTCACAAAGTACCGCAGCAATAGCACCGACTGTAAGTCCCAAGCTGATACAATTATACTACAACAAACAAAATCCTAATGAGAATCATATACAACCACAGAACACGATACATAATCGCAACACCAATAGAGGTAACTGTTAATACAAACCTGAAAATGACCATGATCAATGAGGATTAAACAAGGGTTCAAGAGAATCACAGCAATATGCCACGCCACTTCACTCTTACCACTCCTAATTCGATTCCTATGGTACACCAACACGAAAAACAGAGCAGCTGGGAAAAATATGAGAACATCAGACGCTAAAACTGTCCATCTCATCAACAATTTTCTGCATAACAAAACCAATGTGACTCCAATTAGTAACCCTAATTACACAACAAGCAACAAAATTGAAGGATCAGATCATTTACCCAAGATAAGACTCGTGACCACGAGAGCTTAGAAGAGCAACAGATTCAGGATTGAAGATTTGAAGGAAGATTCCATGGATGTAACTTTGATAAGCAGTTAAAGGAGGATAATCTAATCCCCAGTAAGTGAGATCGTTGTAAGTGCCATTTCTATACCAATCGATAACTGGAATATTTGTGGTTATCTCCATCCAATGTCTTTGAGCTTCGAAATCGCCGAATTTAGGTGGAATTCCGGCGCCGGAGTATGGATACATTGATACAGCAGATCGGATCAGTAATGCGAAGAGGGAGATGCAGAGAAATGAAGTGGTGGTTCCTTTATGTGCTAACCACCACCAAGTATCAGAAGATCCGGTTTGTGGTGATACCGGAATGGTGATGTCATCGTCGCCGGAATGTTTCGCCGGCTTCTTCTTCGGCATCGTTGTTTTGTTTGTCTTCTCCGTTTAGTTTTTATCTTCAGCTAAAGCTGATGCAAAAATTAAAATCGACCCCGTGATGTTTGGATCGGTCTCGGTTTGGGTTTAGAGAAAATTGCTAAAAGCCCTCGTATTTTCTATTTTTCACAAATTTACCTTATATCTGCAAGAAGTGCAAAAACACCATTCGTTTGAATCGTTTCACTACTCTGAAAATATTATATCCTTTAGCAACCAAGTTAGCTCTGAAAGCACATAAGAAAATTCCGCAAGTCACTGGCTCATTTGAAGTTTCCAATTAAAAGAAAGTTTACTTCTTTGATTTTTATTTATTTTTTGCCAAGGGACTAAATCCTAACTTTTCATCACTTTATATGATATTTACTTATCTAGCCAAAAAAAAAAAAAAAAAAAAATTGATATTGTACGTCTAGATCAGTGTGGAGACCATGTTAGTTATGTTACTTAACCATCCAATATATCATTTTAGTATATCATAGGGTGTGTTCTTCAAAGGCTTGCTACTTACCTTCAAAGTATCATGTTTCCCTTAGTTTGTTGTAGCGTTCGAGAGAGCTACCGAGGCTTTGAAGACTAGCTAGTGGCTGAGTGGTGGTGTATGCGGTCTAATTGGTGGAGTTCTTAAGGTCAAATGCCTGTTTTTTTCTTTTTCTATTAGTTCACTATGTTACAGAATTAAAATCTCTTTGGACATCACTTTTCTCTTTTACTTCTTTGTGCATAAATCATTCAAACTTAAAAAAAAAAAAAAGACTATAGGTTATGAGACTTTTTCGTTTTGAATATTTATAAAAGACTATATAGTAAAGGGTGGCGTCAGTCCTTGTCAAGGATTGCCCTATTTTATGTTTCTCTCTCGGAACATTCTTCATGAGAAATTCAGGGACTTGGATGAAAACAGTAGCGGAAGCAGCTCAAAAAGCTAAAGCAGCTATGAAGATAGCAAAGGCCGATGAATCACGTCAAGCTAAAAAAGCTATACTCGTTAGTAAAAATAGATTGGGTCTAGTAGAGTAGAAGAAACTTGCACAAGTGATCAAGTTGGAGGTCGAAATGGATGATGACCTATGGGAGAAGGTTCAAAAAGTCGAGAACATAAACGAGAAGGTGAACTAGAAGATGAAAAAGAAGGCTTAGAAGAAGTGACATCTTTCTTTCTTTTTTTCATTTTTTCGTTTTTGGTTTATTGAATGTTGATCGTTTTTAGCTGTCATATCATGTCAGTGTAAGACTTAAACCCAAATGTTTACCAATAACTGAAACAAGAGAGGTTCTACTTAGTACTCACCAAGAGAATCAAAGAATGCAATCTCTTCCAACATTGTACTAAGTTTGCAACTTCTGCTTGTGATTTTAAATAACACTGCAACCATTGTTGAGTACATAACAATATTTCAACCATATAAGGAATTAAAGAACTTCTATATGGAATAAAATAATATTTTTTGTCGATTTATGTATGGCCAATATAAAGATTAATAAAAGTTTGAAACTTTTATACATTTATATTGTTTCAGTAATATTAGAAATTAATAATTATATAAATTTATACATATATAACTAAGATAGTATTCTAAATATGACTATAATGTTGTTTGTATTTAATTAAAGTTGAAATCTTGTTAGAGTTCATCTCTAATCTTACTTATTACATCAAAAAATCTTTGGTGTTTTCTGATTTGTATCCAAATTTTATGAAAATTATAAATGCGATAATTGATTTTAAAAAATAAAGTACTTATTTGAGTAGCTCTAAATTCAGGCTCACTTGACTTCCCAGATCCCACCCATGGGTATTTGCCTACTTGGTATGTAATCTTTTTCTTATATTTAAATTAATTAACTAACTTTGGATATACATTTTTAATTATTAGGAAGATATATACATAGGAATTAAATTATAATATTAATAAGCTTAATACATTGATATAAATATATTTATATATATTGCTTAATTTATTGTATATTAAATGCTTACCTTTGCAAATACTTAATTTTAATTATTATTTTAAGTAATTAATTATATATATTATTTTAAATATTTATCAGTATATTGACATTCAAGATGCATAATTAAAATTTCCTTTGTTATTTTGAACAGAAGTTTTGTTAATAAGTAAAAAGAAAAAATTGTAAATAAAAGAAAATTATTTATTAACAGAATTCCTTGTAGACGAAGTGAAAAGGTAACTTTTACTTTTTTCAAACCTCACTATTTCACAAATTTTTTATATTTGTGATTTTTTCTTAAAACTTGAAAAATTATGTTATGTAACAATTAATACTATCATTGAGTAAAAATCGCATGCCAAAAAGATTATAGAAAAGATATACCCAAAAATCTCCAAATACAAAAGCAGTAAATTAAGTTGATTTTGGAAAAGAGTCTATAATCACATGTAAACATCTCCACTACATCCCATACTCCTTTTTTAATCCAACGGCTTAGAAACCACAAGACCGTCCTAATCTCCACGTAATTTACCTGGACACACCAAAGTTTGTATAGACGTGCATGTAGACGATTAACCTTTATGTATTAACTGTGTTGATATATAAAGTGACTCAATACCCCAAAAGCGGTCTCTCTCTATACTTTGCTTCTCTCTCTAACCTTCTCTCTTTTTTTTCTCAAGTTTTTTTTTCTCTAAACGATGAAGATTTTCGTGAAGACTCTCAGTGGTACGAACTTCGAGATCGAAGTTAAACCTGCGGATACGGTAATACTGATTTCTTGAATTCGAATCGTCTTCTCTGTTTCGTTAACTGTTTATTAGGTTTGATTTGGTTTCGTATTTCGATTTTGCCTTTGGGGAAAAATTCCGGTGAATTAGCGAATCTCGTAGTATCTGATTTGAAATTCTAGGTTTCGTTTGTATTGTGTTGAGAATTGTTTGTGACGATTCGTGTTTCTGTTTATGTTATTGGATTCGAATTCGAATTAGGGTTTTTCGTGAGTTATGTAAGTATAGTTATGGCTTCGTGTTGTTTTCATCAAGATTCGTTGCTTTAGTGATCTTGCTGGAATCTGATTTTGCTTCTTTAAGATTATGTTAGAGCTAATCTTACTTAGATTCAATAAGATGAGTCATTATATCTGCTAAACCTTGAGGCACTTATGGATTTATCTGACGTAATGATATAATATTGTGAAGTTTTCGTTGTTGGTGTGACTTATTTTTTTCATTGCTAGTCTCATATCTGCTTGATAGCCTTTAGATTAAGGATGTCTATATGATTTGGTATCTGAGTTATGTGTGATTGAGATGCTTATTAAGATTGTTGGTGATTTCAGGTTTCTGATGTTAAAAAGGCTATAGAAACTGTTAAAGGTGCAGAATACCCTGCTGTGAAGCAGATGCTGATCCACCAAGGAAAGGTTTTAAAGGATGAGACCACATTGGAAGAGAACAATGTTGTTGAGAACAGTTTCATTGTTATCATGTTGTCCAAGGTGATGTATTAGGTTCACAATTTTGTGTTAATATTAGTAACAGGATGCTAGTAATTTAGCGGATGTTAACAAGTTTTATTATTTATGTTGATGAAATATAGACCAAAGCTTCACCAAGTGGGGCATCAACTGCATCTGCACCAGCACCTAGTGCTACCCAGGTGAATAACGTTCTTATGTATTATTGTTATGGTTTACTTAGGTGTTCAAGGCTTTCTATTTGAAACAAAATAGTATATCTAGATCATACTCTTAGTTTTGTCTAATGAAATTGCTTGGGTTCTTTGGCTCAGCCTGCACAGACAGTTGCTACACCTCAGGTTTCTGCTCCAACTGTCTCAGTGTGAGTTCTGGGCCTTCCTCTCGCTTTGATATACCTCTTTGAAAGAGAAATTGTCAGCCTCTTTTGTAATTGCCGCTTTGCTGATTTTCTGTTCTTTTTACTTGCTTTTTGCAGTCCAGAGCCTACAAGTGGATCTGCAACCGCTGCAGCTCCAGCTGCTGCTGCTGCTTCGTAAGCACTTCTCAGAACTGTACTCTATTCGTTTTCGAATTTCTGTTCACTGATTGATGATCATTTTAATGTTGTCCTCTTGCTTGGTTGAAACAGGGTTCAAACAGATGTGTATGGTCAAGCAGCATCAAACCTTGTTGCTGGAACTACTCTAGAGTCCACTGTTCAGCAAATTCTTGACATGGGTGGAGGTAGTTGGGACCGTGACACTGTTGTTCGTGCTCTGAGAGCCGCCTTCAACAATCCTGAAAGAGCCGTTGAATATCTATACTCAGTATGATTCATTCCACTTCTTGATTTTATGTTTTTCTTTGACAATTGTTTTTACCTTTGATTTGCGGTTTGCTAGAACTTTAGCAACATTTGCTCTGTCTAGTCTATTGAACTTTTGTTTGATACATTTCAGGGTATCCCTGCTCAAGCTGAAATCCCGGCAGTTGCTCAAGCCCCGTCTACTGGTGAACAGCCAGCAAATCCTCAAGCACAGCCCCAACAAGCAGCTCCGGTAGCTGCAACTGGTGGTCCAAACGCAAATCCATTAAACCTGTTCCCCCAGGTAGGGTTTATAAACTGGTGGACCTGTTTCATTTTTCTACGTTTTCACTTGTATATTTGTTTTTATTGACATCCACTCTTATCTTTCTGCACACAGGGCATGCCCGCTGCAGATGCTGCTGCTGGAGCTGGTAATCTTGATTTCCTGCGTAACAGTCAGCAGGTATTTTCAAATTCTTTTCCATTCGAGAACAGAATCTTCATTTCTCTCTTCTTATTACATTTGCAATTCTTTTGCCTTTTCATAGTTCCAAGCCTTGCGAGCTATGGTACAAGCAAACCCACAAATTCTACAGGTAAAATTATCAACCTCTTTTTCTTTCTTTCGTAGGTTATATGATATTGATTTTCCACTTATACTGTTTCCTTCTGCAGCCTATGCTTCAGGAGCTCGGTAAACAAAACCCGCAGCTTGTGCGACTAATTCAAGAGCACCAGGCTGACTTCCTACGCTTGATAAATGAACCCGTCGAGGGAGAAGAGTGAGTTTATACTTTATATCATCATTCTCCTTTACATTTGCATTTATTCTGTTGTTCAATAAAGCCTGTAATCTGACAATTCATTACCTCACCAATGCTACCAGGAATGTTATGGAACAGTTAGAAGCAGCAATGCCACAAGCTGTTACAGTTACACCTGAAGAGCGTGAAGCCATTGAACGGGTTTGTTCCTCTGATCTTTACATTTGTACTTTAAACTAGATGCATTTCTAGCTGCACTTGTTCCTCAAAATATCTGTGTTGTATTTAAATGTGATTTTGTTATTTGTTTGTTTGGGGGCACAGCTTGAAGCAATGGGGTTTGATCGTGCGATGGTCTTAGAAGTGTTCTTTGCATGTAACAAGAATGAAGAACTTGCAGCGAATTACCTTCTAGATCACATGCATGAGTTTGAGGACCAATAAACAGAGCAAATCCATTCCTCCTCCTTCCTAAACTCATAGACCCATCTTCCTGTTTCTTTTTCTTCCTTTTTTTTTTTTCTTCTTTCTTTTTAATATGATAATCTCTTCTCCAATGCCATTTGACAGTTTCATGTTTATGTTCATGGGAGTTGATGTGTTTATGTTATACATTTAAAACTATCATAGTTTATCTGGTTTGAAGATGCTCCTCCTCTTTTTCATATATTAGGCTTTGAATCCTCTCTTTTGGTGCGATTTGACTCATCTCTCGAGTTAAGAATGGTCAAATCTTGCTCTGCTTTAACTAAATAAACTGTGTCTAATCTGGTTTTAACAGATCTGGCCGCAATTGAGATCCAATAATTGGCGCTTACATTATTTACTACAATGGATGCCTTTTACACACTGTTTAAAAGAATTTCATAGCACATATTGATGAATTTCGAGGCAAATTTAGACATTGTCGTAATCTCAAATTTGATACGTGATGTGTGAAACTAGTAGTTGAGATAAGAGTCGTAAGTTTCAACTTTCAAGTAATAACCCGTTAGGCCCATAGGCCCATTTATCAGCTCAGAGTTAAATAAGAGATCTCGCCACTAGCATGGCTACACACGTGTCAGATTCAATGTATCAGTAATCTTCAGCATTCGACACTTGTCAACCATCCATTGGATCTCTTAACTCTACGCCTCGAAAACAGTTTTTTATTTATTATTCCATTTTTATTTCATTGTATCTGAGTCTCTTCTTATTCCATTTTTTCAAACCACTTGCAAATTCGAATCAGATCTTCAAACGAAAAAGAAAAAAAGAAAAGGTAAATCTCTCTCTAATCATTCGTTCTTGTTCTGGTTTGTGTGTAGATCTGATGTTTGATTGTATGATTCTGGAGATATCGATCTAATCGATTCGCTGTGTTCTTATCACTGATTCAGTGAGAGAGTACGCGTGTGTTTGTTCTCATATCCGATTCGTGTGTAGATGTTAAATCTGGGTTTCGGTTTTCTTCAATTGTTTCTGCTTTTCAATGATTTGCTCTCGATTCAATGGTTTTTGCGTTGATGGATTTGCTCTAGATTCGTAAACCATGAACGATTCAGTGTTAGTTTTAGTGTGTTCTTAATCTGTGAAGAACGTGATTAACTATATGAGTGTGTAGATGTTAATTTGGGTTATTGTTTAGATTCATTTGTGGATCCGTGAAGAACTTGATTAACTGGATCAATGTGTATATGTTAATTTGTGTTATGATTTGATTCGAAGTGATTTGGTATATTTGATTAAGTGGATGAGTGTGTAGATGTTAATTTGAGTTCTGGTTCGATTCAATTGTTTCTGATTTTGTTGATATTTGCTTTAGATTCTTAATCTGTGAAGAACTTAATTAAGTGGTTAATTCGGGTTATAGTTTGATTCAGTTGTTTCTGATCTTGTAGGATTTGCTCTAGATTGTTAAATAGAAGATGTCGACTGAAGCATCAAGGGAAGAGAATGTTTACATGGCGAAACTAGCCGAACAAGCTGAACGTTATGAAGAAATGGTTGAATTCATGGAGAAAGTTGCGAAAACTGTTGATGTTGAAGAACTCTCTGTTGAAGAGAGGAATCTTCTCTCTGTTGCTTACAAGAACGTGATTGGAGCGAGAAGAGCTTCGTGGAGAATCATTTCTTCGATTGAGCAGAAAGAAGAGAGCAAAGGGAACGAGGATCACGTTGCTATTATCAAGGATTACAGGGGAAAGATTGAAACTGAGCTTAGCAAAATCTGTGATGGGATTTTGAATGTTCTTGAAGCTCATCTTATTCCTTCTGCTTCACCAGCTGAATCTAAAGTGTTTTACCTTAAAATGAAGGGAGATTATCATAGGTATCTTGCTGAGTTTAAGGCTGGTGCTGAGAGGAAAGAAGCTGCTGAAAGCACTTTGGTTGCTTACAAGTCGGCTTCCGTAAGTTATTCTTACAACATTTTGAATGTTATTTTCTTTTGTGGCTATGATTGATTATGATTTCGTAATAATGCAGGACATTGCCACTGCTGAGTTAGCTCCCACTCACCCGATAAGGCTTGGTCTTGCCCTCAACTTCTCTGTGTTTTACTATGAAATCCTCAACTCGCCTGATCGTGCTTGCAGCCTCGCAAAGCAGGTTTGTCTACACCTGATTTCACTTTTGGCTTCATGTTAACTAATATTATCTAACTGAATGAGCTCTTTTTTTGGGGTTTGTGCAGGCATTTGATGATGCTATCGCTGAGTTGGATACATTGGGTGAGGAATCATACAAAGACAGTACACTGATTATGCAGCTTCTTAGAGACAATCTCACTCTCTGGACTTCAGATATGACTGTAAGCATCAAACACAATATACATTGATCATTGACATGATTTCCCCGAATCAAACCAAACATTTCCGTAAAACAACTTTCACTTAGGAACTTTAGATGGCATTAGAAGTTACTTAAGAGCTTCTAAGTTCTGTAATTGACATGATTGTTACTTTCTTGTGAACAGGACGAAGCAGGAGATGAGATCAAGGAGGCATCGAAGCCCGAAGGTGCCGAGTAAACCTGAAGAAGAGGAAGTCATTTTATAATGGTAGAAACTTTCATATGATAATCTGAGTGAGAGATACCTCAGGATTCTTATAAGGACACAGTTTTATTGTTGTTTGTTTGTTTGGAAAAACTACTTGCGATTTATTCCTCCTTTAGGTTCCTCAAAAATTTCCTATTCTCCTTCTAATGAAATCAAAACTTGGTTTTTTCTGATACTGTTTCTTATTTTCGATATCTTTGGTTTTGGATTTGATCAACTAAATATAGTTTTCTCAGGATCTCACTGAGAAGAATGAAAACAAGTTTGATTATTTTTTGCATTGAGCATTTTGACCGAGAAGAATGTACCTAAACACTTGCAGGAGATGGATCATTTCGTCCACAAGAAATCAGAGGTAACTAAAGAAGACAAAACAAGAAACCATATTCATGACAAAATGTTTATTTCAAACAATGGCAAGGATATGTTGTCGAGACAGACAAGTTACTAATAATAGAGGAGAGAACCACACCAACATGTAAGATCACAATCGTAGTTAATCCCTAATTTTGTTAATTAATACACTTCCAAGAAGTTACTACTGTGCCAAAAACCTCAAGAATCACCTGAATAGCTAATGAACAAGTGAAGAGCTACTCTATGTCAAGTGCAAAGCAGAGGACTCCACGGCACCTGAAAGTCCAAAGACTGATCTTGTCGCCGGCTTTCAAGTTGTTACCTTTGACGACATCGTTCCAACCCCAATTCAAAGTGTAATTCAAGGTTCCGTGTCCCGAATCTTTCTTCTCCATTACCCATATCTTTAAACGTAAACCCCACATTCTAACCCTTTGATTCACAAGAATTGTTCCCACACCAATATTCTCGTCATCTTCGTTGTCTTCATCTCTCTCTAAGGCTCGACACTCGGACGGCGTCAAGAAGTCGTTTCTGATTAGCTTTTGGAAAGGGATTAAGAGACGGCTGAGGATTGAGTTGACGTCACTATTGAACAGAGTCCTCTCAAATATCAGCCTCGGGGTTTCGGCATCAGCGTTCATGTATCTCATCACCTGGAAAACCCACTCCGGTGTCTCTCTCTCCACGTGTGGATAAAGTACAACCTTTGCTCTCTTGAATCCACCTTTACCCTTCCTCTGCTGCACGACACGCCTCTTGCGGCTTGTGTTCTCTGTTAGGCACGAAGACGGAGAAGAAGATTGATAATTAGGGTTTGGTAGGTCTATCGTCTCTGTCGAAGGTTCAAGACAATGAAGGTTCAGGAGCGATGAAGAAGTAGAAGCCCCATTAAGATTATCAAAGTTTTCTCGTAGAAATTTCTTCACATTCTTCTCGAAGAGTCTATTCTCACTCTCGTCGTCATAATCTTCATCGCAAACAATCTTGGACTTACCTTTCTTTGCACGTTGTTCTTCATCACACACCAAAGGCTCATCATCAGAACTAGGGTTTTTTAGGTTTTCTGGCTCAGAATCAGTGGTGATTAGGTTAAGATCGAGAAGTGATGAACATGGAGAAGCCTCGTTAGGGTTTTGTTGTGTGTATCTTTTCTTCACTAAAGACGACCTAATTTTTCTCGGGAAAAGATAGAAGAATCTCATCTGGTTATCTTCTTCTTGAGAGACAGTCTTGTGGCATCTTAATAATTGTTCTCCTTTCTCTGCAAGAAGACGACGACGTTGTTCTTCTTCCGCAACCATAACCGCCGCATCCGCCAGTAAACATAAACCCGACCACATATCCTTCCTCGAATCCGTAAGGTAATCATCATAATACATACTAGTCATTTTGATCGAACCAAAAGACTCGAAAGTTCTGAGATCGAAGACGTGAGGAACAAGGAAATTGTATAGAGAGAGGAGAAACTGAGCGAAAATGAGAAAAGAAGTGCCTTCTCTTGCCTTAAATATTTACATTAGAGTTTAGGGCTTTTTGTTTTTTTCCATTTTTCTTTTGAGTTTAGTGGTTTAATTACTGTGATTAGTAACTAATTATAGCCGTTGTGATCAAGTTAACATTTCCATGTGAATATATTAACATTTCGCTATTTCGTTATTTCCTTTTTCCCAAGAGTGAGAAATGTCAATTTTTAGGAAGCTTCTTTGCCTTTCAATAGTTTCGTTTCACTTCTTTTGTATTTAATTTATTAATTTTTTTTTTGGCACTTTACGCCTAAGTTGATATAATTAAATTAAACACAAATTACAGTGGAGTTTTAAAAATTACAAAGCCAATGTTGTCGATTGAATTGAAACTTGAAAGTATTTTTGAATTTTCCTTTATAAAAGAAACTATTTTCCAATTTCCTTATTAAAAAGGGTATTTTTGAATTTTGTTGAAGAACATAAAGAGTTTACACGAGACAAGTCTACACAAATTAAAGCATTTCAACAAAATTGCATAAAAATAGTTGATGAAAAACAGCAAAACTTGATGTGTATAAAAAGTGAGTTAAAAAATTTCAAAAAGCAAAAACCCTAGTAGCCGCTCTCTCCTTTTCGCTTTAGTCGCATCACTTCCGTTCAAGCTTTGGCCGGCGCGTGGTGGCTTTCAAAGCACCGGCGTCGGTCCATCTTTCTTAGCTTTCGTCTCTAGTTTATGTTCTCTTTCGGCTGAGGTTAGTGTGGTGGTTCGACGAGTTTCTGAAGCCTTTCGATTTCAGATCTGCAACGTCTTGGACGGGGTTACTTTTAATTGATGGATCTGGAGTTTATCGGAGAGGTGGTGATGTCTTTGCGTTTATTTATGGATCTATGGGATCCTTTGCTACGGTGGTTGTTGATGGACATCCTCGACGGTATGGTCTCCTTCCCCTCCCTGTTCGGATCTGAACTCATGTGGCTTAGTCTCTTTGGCCCATTGGACTACTTTAGGTTTTGTTGTTGTTTGTGAGACTTATTTCGTTGGAGGTGGCTCAGTTGCGGGGTTTATTTGTGGATCTGTGCTCTACCTCTCTATTGTGTCCTCTTGCTTGGTCGTGGTTGTGATTTGGGCTGGTTCGTTTTTGGTGTTGACCAATCTGATGGAATTTTGCTGCTGAGCCACCTACTAGCCTGTTTTCCTTGGATATAGGTTCTGGGCAAAGCAGTGGAATCGTTCTCTAGCTCTTCTCTTGCGAGGACGTCGTCAGTTTTTTGTCCGTAGGTGGCTGGAGCTGGTTCGACGAGTGTCCGCGTGCAAGAGCTGTTTTTCTTAATTGGTTTATCTCCGGTCGATCTTCAAGGTTATGCCTTGTTCCTAGTGTGTTTTGCTCTCTACGTCTGGCTGGTGAGGTGTGATGGTAGTTGTATTTGTGTCTCTGGTCTCGGTGGGTTCTTGCTTTCCTCCCTGTCGGTTTGCTATACTGGTTTGACTTCGGTGTGAGGTCTTCCGATCTTATTGGTGCTTCCGACGTTAACAGGTTCTTTGGGAAGCTAGGTGAGACGCTTTGGTTCCTTTGTTCAAATAGTGCTTGGATTTCATATTTTCCTTCGCAGTTCCTCCTCTTTACATATTTGTCTCTATCGTTTGCTTAAATGGTTAGTCTAAATTAGCTTCTCCGTTCTGTTGGGGCTTTGTTTCCCTTTTTTGGGCTAAGTTTCTGGAGACATTCTGTTCGTCTGCCGGCACATGTATTTCAACTTGTATCCTACTTTGGTTTCTTAATAAAATTCAGATGACAAAAAAAAAGATGTGTATAAAAAGTATAAACCCAACAATATTTGATAATTACAAAATTGCCCCATAACTTTGGTAGTTACGATTTGCCCCCATAACTTAGGTATTTTCTAACTTGCCCCAAATCTTTTACTAATTACGAAATTGCCCCAAATCTTATGTTTGTTACGAAATGGCCCACATCTATTGGTAATTACAAAATCATCGCATATCTTTTGGTATTTGTTAACTTCGCCCACATCTCTCGAAACAAGATTTCTTGCAATTTCGTATTTACCAAACAAGTATAATAAAAAGGTGGAAATCGACAATCGAGTCCCAATGTTTTCCATTAGATTTCATTTTACTTAAAATAACTCCAACTTAGGAAATTAAGATTGCAGTACAAGTGTTTAAGCTTTTATTTGTTCTTAGTTCTATAATTGACGTGATTGTTTCTTTCTGAACTATAGGACAAAGCAGTAGACAAAACAAGAAACCATATTTCATGACAAATAGTTTATTTCAAAACAATATTAAAGATTTGAGACAACAGAGGAGACAGACAAGTTACTAATACTAATAGAGGAGAGAACCAACCGAAATCCTAATATTGTTAATTAGTTAACACTTCCAAGAAGTTACTACTATACCAAAAAACCTCAAGAATCACCTGAAATTAGATAAATGAAACCCTCAAGAGACAAATGAAACATATAAGAGAGCTACCATGTCTCAAGGGCAAAGCAGAGGACTCCACGGCACCTGAAAGTCCAAAGACTGATCTTGTCGCCGGCTTTTAAGCCGTTACCCTTGACGACTTCGTTCCAACCCCAATTCAAAGCGTAATTCAAGGTTCCATGTCCAGAGTCCTTCTGCATCACCCATATCTTAAAACGTAAACCCCACATTTTAAACCTTTGGTTCATAAGAATCGTTCCCACACCAATATTCTCGTCTTCTTCGTCTTCTTCTTCGTCTTCGTCTTTCTGTATGGCTCGACACTCGGAAGGCGTCAAGAAGTCGTTTCTGATTAGCTGCTGGAATGGGATTAAGAGACGGCTCTGGCCTACTTGGACATCACTATTTGTCAGAGCCCTCACAAAGATCAACCTCGGGTTTTCAGCATCAGCTTTCATATATCTCATCACCTCGAAAATCCACTCAGGCGTCTCTGTAGACAATCTTAGCAAAGGAGCAACCTTTGCTTTCTTGAATTTACCACTCTTCCTCTGCTGCACGGCACGCCTCTTGCGGCTTTTGTTCTCCGTTAGGCATGAAGACGGCGAAGAAGACTGGTAATTAGGGTTTGGTAGGTCTCTCGTCTCTGTCTTCTCGGACTTAGGCTCATAACAACGAAGATTCAAGAACGATGAAGAAGCTGAAGCCCCATTGAGATTATGAAAGTTTTGTTGTTGGTGTCTTACAAATTTCTTCAGATTCTTCTCGAAGAGTCTCTTCTCACTCTCTTCGTCCTCTTCCTCTTCTTCTTCACATATAATCTTAGACTTACCTTTCTTTGCACGTAGTTCTTCATCATACACCAAAGACTTATCAAAACTATGGTTTTGTGCGTTTTTCGTCTCGTAATCAGTGAGGGTTAGGTTAAGATCGAGAAGCGATGAAGAAGAAGACGTAGAAACTCCATTAGGGTTTTGTTGTGTGTAACTTCTCTTTACCAAAGAAGACCTTTTCTTCCTCGGGAAAAGATAGAAGAATCTCTTCTGGCTATCTTCTTCTTCAGAGACAGTCTTATGGCACTTGGATTCTGCAAGAAGACGATGACGTTGTTCTTCTTCCTCAACCATAACCGCCGTATCCACCAGTAAACACAGATCCGACCACATATCCTTCTCTGAATCCGTGAGATGATCATCGTGATACATACCCATCGTGATCGAACGAAAACTCAAAGTTCTGAGAATGAAACGTGAGGACCAAGGTAATTAGAAAGATAGAGAGAAGCTGAGCGCAAATGTGAATAAAATTGCCTTCTCTTGCTTTAAATACTTACCATTAGGGTTTAGGGCTTTTTGTTTTTTCCATTTTTCTTTTGAGTTTAGTTGTTTAATTATTGTGATTAGTAGATAATTATAGCCGTTGTGATCAAGTTTAACATTTCGTTAATTACGATTAAGTCCCTGTTTTGGTATTTCCTTTTACCGAAAGTGAGAACTGAAAAGTTTCATTTCCTTTTCTTTTTCCATGGATTTAATTTTATTATTTGTTTTTTTGAATAATTACACTGCATACCCTAAGACTGAGAAGTATTTAAGTCAAAGGAGCAGTGGCACGTTCGTAAATAATGTGTGTGTTTGGTTTGTCTTGAAAAGACCATTATACCCCTATGCTTGTAGAGTCTGGCAGTTGCACCCAGACATAATTGCGAAACGAAACCCTCGGCTTATGTGTCGTTTGATATTTGTTAAAAGCGACAGTTTCTCTTTTGCATTTATTGATTTCTGAGGCATTACTGTTTGTAGCCTGCTATAGTAGTTAATAGAGGTTATTGGTTGTTTGCAGGTTTCTGTTGAATCTATTATTCCTCTTGATGATGCTGTTGTTGGAGACGATTTGTCTTGGTCTGACGAGGTGGAAGATGTGAAAGTTGATAATTTGGTTAGGTTAGTTCAAGAAGGCCACCAATGGTCTGGTGATGAATTTGGAGGTGGTGTGGTTGTGTCTGCGCTTCCTGTAGAACCTAAAGAAAAAGCATAAGGGAAAAAAGTTGTTAAGTCTAGGAAGAGGAAGAAGTCTCCTGTTTGTGGCTACAGTGTGTAAACGTATAACGTGATACGAACATATATATAAGGACACGAAAGCATATAATGGGATGGGGGAAAGATATCGTGGTAAGATATCTCGTAGCTGTGATTTCTTGTCTTGCCATAATTACTTTTGCATTTAATACTACTCTTGTAGCAACTTGGGGCAGAGAGAATTGCCAAGCTCGATACGTCTGTAGGGTCCGCCGCGATTTGCGTGTATCGGATAAACACATATATATATATATCAGGATACGTATCACAGTTGCAACACACTATCTCTGCGAGCATTAAATAAGTGGGGGCCCACATAATATTGCATGATATCCCTGTCCCCTACGAAATTCTCGAAGGGAAAACTCCCGCATTTTATTTCAGGGGTATTTTCGTCTGACTTTTTTAAAACCATAGATTTCTCTCTCTTGTTTTGCAAAGAAAAAAACTCGTGTATGTCAGACCTAATTATTTCTCAAATTATTAGCATACAGCTAATTGACTCTTGTTTTTTTGTTCAATTTTTAATTTTAATAAAACAAAAAAAAAAAACAGCTTGAGATTTCAACATAATTGCAAAAATATATAGTTAATGAAGAAACCAAAAAAAGCTTGAGGTATATTAATCAAAATGTGAGAAGAATTCAATATAGTTTTTCTCATTTTCCTATACCATAAACCAAAGAACTCTCTCATTTACCAATACTCAAATTCAGCTTTCCACTACATAAACACACACATACAAGTCTCCTTATATAGTTTGATGTCTTGATGATACACTAGATGAGAGAATACACAACATCATCGTACGTTGGGAAGTCCAATGGTCCGTCCCCAATGAGTACCAGAGAAGTCACAATAACCGCGACAAAGATTGTGAAAAGCAGAAACGATTTACACGGGTCACCGCTGTTTTGTTTCTCTGGTCCTACTGTTACAGTCCCTTCTTGTCTTTCACTTCCTCTTCCAAGTTGGAGCACCGGACAAGTGAAGAATCCGTATACAATTCCGGCTATAAGTGCTCCCAGATTTGTCCTGTGATGACTTATTGGTTAGAAGATAAAACACAGTAACCTTGACAAAGAATCGTATGTGAAGATGTGTCATGATTCTTTATAATGAACTGAACCTAAGAAGAGGCTGCTTACATTAGAATGCTGAACAAGAAACAACTAGCTGAAGAAATCTTGATGGAGATTGGAAACTTACCAGTCATCAATTGGACCGAAATGGCTTAATATGAGACCAAATCCTGTCATTATAATGGCCTTCTGAAACAAGTCCTCATATTCGTTGCTTTTGATCATCTCTTTGTTCTGATTTTGGTCGACGAGCCAAGCTCCTATTAATGCAAATGCTGGTCCCTGCACCAACCCATATACACGAAGACGATTGAGAACAGAATGGATGGTGCAATTTGGTAATATCACATGGGAAAAATTAGTGAACTTACAGTTCCTCCAACTGTAGGATCTGGTGTATGAAGAAAGCTCATGAAATTACCAGAGACTCCTCCGAGAATGTAAATGAGACAAAACGTGAATAGTCCATAGTCACGGCAGACTTTTGGTCCAAAAGTAAGCAGAGCCCAGGAACTAAGGGCTACATGAGGAATGCCAGAGTGCTACAGATGTAAAATGAAAGTGTTTCAGTGACAAAAAGGGAATATTACGTGAAACCAAGTCATCAAGAGTGCTAAATTGTGACATGCAAAAAGATGCAACGGAATGAGGAACTAAAGCGATATATACTTCTAATTTTGGCAATGTTGTTGTCAGGTATTTAAAATCTCCCGCTGTTTGGTCAAGTGTGTTTTTGAAACAGTAAAGAATGGGAACACAGACCCAATTTGTTGGTCTTGTACCAGAAACATGGGTGTGACCAGCCTCCACCATTCTCCAGCCAGGATTAGATCATTTATCTTGGCTCCATATAACAACGGGAGTGATAGCAGTCCCATATCGTTATTCCTAACTGGCGCTGCCGCTTCAAACAGACATACTCCGACATTTATGGATGCTAATATGCTCCTGGAATTTTAATGGAGACAAAAAAAAGTTTAAGCATCAATAAGAACCTGTGTGGCATTGCATCTAAGACGAACAAGAGGTGATTAAGAATTTTTACACAGCATAGAAGTTCAATGTATCTTCTGATTGATCTTCATCATCAAGCTGCCGGAAAGGACTATTATTGCTTTCAATACCAGTCTTTCTCAATTTGCTTGCTACTGAACCGCCTTCTGATTTTACCACGTCCAAGGTGGACGAGACTAAACCTTTAGATTTTGCATCTGACAAACAGCAAAACAAGTGAGCATTAATAAGAGGAAATAGCCGGAAAGATCAAGCAAAGAGACACCGAAATCAAGAATATCGTAATATTATATACCTTTTTTGAGTTTGTCAAAATAAACACTCAAAGAATCAAACTCTTCATCCGCATTGAGTTCATCAGCTTTCCGATCAATATCATCTCCCGTTGAGATAGAAGGCTTCTCATCGTCGTTTCGAAGTTTCCCAAAGTAAGAATCCAACAGTTTAAGTCTCTTTTTGGTAATCTTGTTCTCTGATGACGCCCTAACTAAGTATAACCTTCCTCTCGGTGAACGACAAAACGGTATTGAATTTATACGATCCTTCATCCTACAATCCCTGCCTAGCGTGGTTGCTTCAGCCACTGTTCTATGTTTGCTACCACCAGCCGAAAAACGTCTTAAGCCATTAGAATCAAACAATACTTCTCCTTTACAAGGGACTTCATGGTGAAGAGGAAACAGTGCCATCTTCAGGTCCTGTCCATTTTAGAGCAACATGTCATCATCATATCTCTTCATTCACCAAACCATAAAGAAGATTTTACAAAAACGTGGATAATTTTGACAAAAAACACAAACTTTATAGATGCACATAACAAGTTTAAAAATCCAAAATTTGGGATTAACCCATTTCACCACTGAAAAGAACAGACAGAAATCAGATACAGGGGAAGCTTAAATTGAATAATCTCATTGAGGAATTTAATCAAACAACTAAAGGGCATAAATTTTTCAAGAATTCAATAGAGAAACGAGTATCAAAATCACTTCTTTGAAGTGAGAAATATGTCTTCTCTCTCACCGTTTTCCTTCAGACTTTTTAATTTACGAAGTCGAGAGAGGACAATCGAACACAATTGGGAAGATGCATCAGAATTTGAGAAAGTGATTAGATTTACCTTTGAACGAAGAAAGAACCTGATCCTAATCTTAAAGATTGAAGATTTGTGGTTGCGAGGATTAGGAAAATTGGAGTTCGAATAAACGAAGCAGTGTCTTATGAAAATTACGTTTAGGAACAGAACCTAAAGCGACTAACAAAACAATATTTTATTTAATGGTTCAAATCAAATTTCGTCGCTTTGGATATTTTATTATTTTTTGTTTAACAAAAAAAAAAACGAAGAAGGATATTTTTGTTCTTGAACATTACTGACTCACAAGTACACACTCAAGAATTGACCATTTTTGCTTTTTAGAAAAAAATAAAATAATTTATATTTTTTTCCCTAAATTACAAGTGATTTTCTTATTAAAAAAAACTTATCGAGGACCGACGGACTTACATGAGAAAAACAAAAATCACGCGCTCTCGTACATTTCACAAGTCTATTAGCATGAAAGTTGACATCACGGGAGATATCCATAAAACTTAAAAAGATAAAAAAATTTCTATCGTACTTAAAATCTATTAGCTGTGATACCAAAATAGGTCAATCCTTGATACTAGCAATCATAGCAAGTAAATTTGAATAATCTGTCTTAAAAGAGAACTCTATCCATAGAAAGTGCCAACATACTCTTTTCTATTTTAATAACGAAAATGTTTTGTTTTTAGTTTTTCTTAGTTAGAACGAAAATGTTTTGTTTTTTCAGCCATAATCCAAATTTTTATTCATTCATATTAGTTTTTAAGCTTTGTTGCACATGAGTTTTGAAAATCTTGTATTTCAGCGTGATTCATCGTTGTGGTTCAATTTGTAATCTTCAAATGATGCCCAATTTTTGGGAAAGATGAATATAGTTAAAGATTAAAAAACAATATGAACAACATGATTTACCGGGAAAGCTAAGTTGAGATATCTTTTGTACTTATCATTTGTAGTGATCTCAACTATATCATGTATTCAAAAACATTTGATCACATCAAACAAATCAATTCCTAACATCTACATAGTATCGCTTGGCATAATTCGATTACATTGAGGATGCATATTCCGATGCTGATTGAACTAGAGATCGTGATGACTATACATCTACCGGTGAATACATTGTTTAATCCGATAAACAACCAATATCTTGGTCTGCAAAAAAACATCTATATAGTAACTCGTTTGTCAGTGGAAACCGAATATCGTTTGGTGGCAGTCACAGCCGCTGAGCTTAAATGGCTACTTTATCTCGCAAAAAACTCCACATTTCTTTTTCTACTATTCCGATCGACTATATATTGTGATAATATTGGAGCTACTCATCTTTGTGTTAACCCTATTTTTACTTCTCGAATGAAACATATTACTCTTCATTGTTCAAATAAGTTCTCGTTTTTAGATTTTATTTTTTGGATTTGGTTAACTAAACATATAAAAACTTAAATTTATATAATTTTGCTGACTTTTTTTTTTTTTTCATTTTCCCATTATTTGTCTAATTGTCCCACACACCTCAATTTTGATATCCTCTTCTTATCTTCGTTAATCAGTTACCAAATGCCACGTGGACGCTCCATTTCATTTTCTATCCAGATTCGCGGTGGATTCTCCTCCCATCCCAATCATCGGTTCATTTCAGCATTTGGTTTAATCCAATTAATCATTAACCGGTTTGTACCGAAACTACTCGAACCAGAAAGATTGGTAGAGAGAAAGCCACGTAAGATTATCTCTAATGGCAAATTAACCAAAAACGATAACTGAAGAAGCCAAAGAGAGCGAGAGAGAAACAACGATGAGAGCTCTAACATGGACGGCAATGTCACCGCCGTCAATGGTGGTGTCACAAACAGCGACTTCTACGGTTAAATTCCGACGTATCAGTCTCCGGAGAGATCGCGTCTATGTTAGAGCCACGGCGTCATCTAGCGCGGCGGTTTCAGGTGGAGGAGTAGTAGAGGCGGTAGAATTGGTAGAGATAGGTGAAAGAAGCAAGAAATGGAAGTGGAAAGGAGAATATTCTGTTAATTACTTTGTCAAAGATTCGCCGGAGGAAGTTACTCCGGCGAGTCAAACTGTTCTTTTGGTTCATGGCTTTGGTGCTTCAATTCCTCACTGGAGAAGGTATTAATCATTGGAAAGCTCAAGTGTTTAAAATGATACTTTGGTTCATGTGGTTAGGGTTTTTACTTAGCATCATTCATTTCTTAAGAGTGAATGTATTGATTACTTAAGAATCAAGAAATTGTTGTATGTGGAAGATTTTGTGTATATGTATTTGCTTTAATTACAAGAACAAACTAAACTTGTTTTTCAGGAACATAAATGCTCTGTCCAAGAACCATACAGTGTATGCGATTGATCTTCTTGGATTTGGTGCTTCGGATAAGCCTCCTGGTTTTAGCTATACCATGGAGTCATGGGCTGAAGTAAACAATCTTTGAAATACTGTGGCATTTGCTGTTTAAAGAAGTGTTTTGGTTTGGTTTGATTTGATTTGATTTTGTTGTAGTTGATAAATAACTTCTTAGAGGAAGTGGTTCAGAAACCGACGATTTTGATTGGAAACTCTGTTGGAAGCCTTGCTTGTGTCATTGCTGCTTCAGGTCTAAGCCCTTTCACTACTTGAATTTGTTTCTATGTCGAATGATATGAACTTAAAAGTACAAAAGCTTACTTGAGCTAAAGACATCATAAGTATGAATCTTACTTAGGTACTATATTTCTCATATCTTGAAAAAAAAACAGAATCACAACGAGATCTGGTCAAAGGTCTTGTTCTATTGAACTGTGCTGGTGGTATGAACAACAAAGCCGTGTTTGACGACTGGCGAATCAAGCTGCTGATGCCTTTACTCTTGCTTATCGACTTTTTACTCAAGCAAAGAGGAATTGCTTCTGCACTCTTCAACCGTGTTAAAGACAGGTAATTACCCGTCTTTTTCTTAACTTTGAAAGGATTTAGTCGAGAGCTGTAACGCATTGATGAATATACGAAACGCAGGGAAAATCTCAAGAACATCTTGACAAATGTTTACGGGAACAAGGACAATGTAGATGATACCCTTGTAGAGGTATTGTCCTTATTACTCACTCTCAATGACAAAGAACCAATGAAAGTTTTATTCACTTTTTATTTGAAAATGTTATGTCAGATCATTGCTGGACCAGCAAATTCCGAAGGCGCGCTAGATGCATTTGTTTCAATCTTAACGGGTCCACCTGGACCAAACCCGATTAAGCTGATACCGGAAATAACCAAACCGGTTCTTGTTTTATGGGGAGACCAAGATGGACTAACCCCTCTCGACGGTCCAGTAGGTAAGTACTTCACTTCCCTTCCGGATCAGTTACCTAACTTCAACCTCTATGTTCTACAAGGCGTAGGACATTGCCCACAAGATGATCGCCCGGACCTTGTTCATGAGCGTCTCCTTCCATGGCTGGCTCAACTTTCTTCCACCTAGTTTCGATTTGTTTTGCCGTGTAAACTTGTTTATAAATGTATAACAAATCTATCTTTCTGGAAAAAGACAGCTTTCAAATGTTATTTGACTCGCTGTAGAGCACATAGATTTTGACACATTCGAAGTCGAAGAGGTTGTAAGTTGGTAAAGGAGTTTGTTTATGGAGTGTTAACTAAACAAAATCTATTAACAGAAGCAGAAAATCTAATCAAGTAATAAACACAAAATGTCATGTTTTGTAAGTGAAATATCAATATATATGAATGAAGTCAAGGTCAGAAACCAATATTTCCTAAGGTAAAAGATAGGGTTTATTTAGTCAAAGCTCAATGCCATTGAGGTGAAGAATAGATGAGAACGTGATATTGTGATATTGGTACCTTCCTCGTTCGTATATATGTTTATAGACTGGGAGATAAATGGTAATCTTTTTTGGTAAAACAATCGTTATAAACTTATAAATGTAGAAAGTGACTAGTTTGGTTGATGAATGATTGATGGTCCTATACGTACAAATACAACTGATACTTCTGTTGGTAGGTAAAAGACACTTTATGAGCTGCCAGAAGCTATATTTTTGGCCACAAAATCTGCTATTTGTTTGGTTGTTGAGTCTTTAAAAGGACATTCATGCTGCAATATCATCAACATAGTGAAGAGTATTGGTATCTTGTGATTATTTTATGATGGTTTGTTGAGTTTGGTTTGATAAATTTGATAAAACAACAATAGGAAGAAGAAGAAGAAAAAAAGACATTTTAGAGAAGAAAATGTTCACATTAAAATAAATGAGCTAGAGATAGAGTCAAAGGCAGTCAAATTCTTGCCTCCTCAAGGTCTTGCCTTCTAAATATTTCTATTTTTGTTCTAATGAATACAAAAATTAAAAAACAAAATCTCATTTTATTTAGTTATAATAACTTTTCCAAAAATAATTTTGTTATAAAAAAATTATCTCTTGATAAAAAAATTGTGAGAAACTTTAACTTGTTTAGGTAGCAAGCAATAGAGAATGAAATTTAAATTGTATATATGTGATTGAATATTGATAATCAGTGAGAGTGAATAATAAACCATGGTTTATTTTTAAAGTTTTCATCAAAAATTGATGCCAAAAAAGAAGACTAAACAAAAAAATTAAATGGAGTGGTCCAATAAAAATAAATAAAGAGAAGACAAAACAAAATTGTATTAAAATGGTTAGATGTCGTTGGGTGCCGGGAAGTCTTCCTTGGAATCTATTACTATTTAAATGCTTCACCGATCTCTCATCACTCTCTATAGTCTTCTAAGCTTTAAACTATATTATCTTTGATAAAATCCCTAATTCATATCTTTGATAACAAAGAAATGGCCTCTCAATTGCTTTTACCTCCAAACCAATTCACCAAATCAGCTAAAGTTTTCTTTACTGGTAAGTTCACTTTTGATCTCTTGATTCTTTTTTTCTTGGTTTTGATTGCTGTTGAAACTCAAGCTTCATAGCTCAATATTTGATGTCTTGAGATTGATTTTGATTTGATTAGGTGATTATCAAGGATTGAATGACTTAACTCTGAGAAGAAAATCACTACAAGTAACAAGGGTTTCAAATGGATTTAGCTTAAGAGCAAAAGCAGATTTGAGATCTACTAACAACAAATCATTGGTTGAAATTCCAAAACAATGGTACAATCTTGTTGCTGATCTTTCAGTCAAGCCACCTCCACCGTTGCATCCAAAGACTTTCCAACCGATAAAACCTGAAGATTTGTCTCATCTTTTCCCCAATGAGTTGATTAAACAAGAAGCAACACAAGAGAGGTTTATTGATATCCCTGAGGAAGTTCTTGAAATCTATAAGCTTTGGCGTCCAACTCCTCTAATCAGGTTCTTGATTTTTTTTCTTCTTCTTCTTTTTATGTTTATGATTTCCACTAGAATGTGATGGATAAATATATTAGATTAGTACAAGGTGTTTATTTGTGTTCTCTTTTATATTCATAAAAAGGATTATTTTCTGTTTTTCATAATCCAGATTCAAGACTTTGAATATTAGCTGAAGTATCATTACTCTTAGTCTTAGTTCAGACGAATTTCTTATCGGATTATTTTTTGGTCTTGCTTTGATTATAGAGCAAAGAGATTAGAGAAGCTTCTTCAAACACCGGCAAGGATTTACTTCAAGTATGAAGGTGGTAGCCCAGCTGGTTCACACAAACCCAACACAGCGGTTCCGCAAGCTTATTACAATGCGAAAGAAGGTGTCAAGAACGTTGTGACGGAAACCGGCGCTGGCCAATGGGGCAGTTCTTTAGCCTTTGCTTCTAGTCTATTTGGCCTTGACTGCGAAGTAAGCATAAATATTAAATTTTTGCTGTGATATCTTGACAAATGTAATCTTTTGTTGATGAGTACAATTTCTTATTTTATGCTGTTCCAACATTATAGGTATGGCAAGTAGCCAACTCATACCATACAAAGCCATATCGTCGGTTAATGATGCAAACTTGGGGAGCAAAGGTTCATCCATCGCCATCGGATCTCACTGAGGCGGGTAGAAGAATCCTCGAATCCGATCCATCAAGTCCAGGAAGTTTAGGCATTGCGATTTCAGAAGCTGTTGAAGTTGCTGCGAGAAACGAGGATACAAAATACTGCCTAGGGAGTGTATTGAACCATGTGTTGTTACACCAGACGATTATTGGAGAAGAATGCATTCAACAAATGGAGAATTTTGGTGAAACACCGGATTTGATCATAGGCTGTACTGGTGGAGGATCAAATTTTGCTGGTTTGAGTTTTCCTTTTATTCGAGAGAAACTCAAAGGAAAAATCAACCCTGTTATAAGAGCGGTTGAGCCCTCGGCTTGTCCTTCCTTGACCAAAGGGGTTTACGCATATGATTTCGGCGATACAGCTGGATTGACTCCTTTGATGAAGATGCATACTTTAGGACATGACTTCATTCCTGATCCTATCCATGCCGGTAATAAAATACTCTTTAAACCCAAGACACTATATTTGAAGGCTTCTCTGTCTCTGGATTCTTGATTTCTTGATTTTCTTGATATAATTATTTTGTATTTTTCTTGATTCTTTGGTTTTGTCCACACCGGTGATAAATAAGCTTTAAATCCAAGATCTTAAACACACCTAATGCTTCTTGATTATCGTTTTCTGTTTTCTTGATTTCTTAAGTTCTTGATTTCTTGAGTTCTTGGAATTTTGGTTCTTGATTCTTGATTACTGAATTCTTGGTTTTCTTTTTGGCTTAATTTGTTGTGTTGTCTATCGTTGTTGGCAGGTGGATTACGGTACCATGGGATGGCACCCTTGATCTCACATGTTTATGAACAAGGATTCATGGAAGCAATTTCAATTCCTCAAATCGAGTGTTTCCAAGGTGGTTCTTCACCTAATCGCAATTCCTCAAATCTCAATACCTCAAATTATCTTTATTAACTTATAACATTTTATATTTGCATTGGACTGTAATACAAACTTTCATGTTTAATTTTCTTGCAGGTGCTATTCAGTTTGCAAGAACAGAAGGGATAATACCCGCACCAGAACCGACTCACGCCATTGCTGCAACCATAAGAGAAGCTCTCCGATGCAAAGAGACAGGAGAAGCAAAAGTGATACTAATGGCTATGTGTGGACATGGCCACTTCGACCTTGCCTCTTACGACAAGTATTTAAAAGGCGAGTTGATAGATTTATCATTCAGCGAAGAGAAGATACGAGAGTCTTTGTCCAATGTTCCTCATGTTGTTTAAGCTCGAATGGCTCCATAACCACGGGAAACCAATGCCCCATGTTCCAAACTAGACGTGTGACAGAAGTTAGGTTTATTCCTGGCTTTTGAAATAAAGAGAGAGGGAGAGAGGATAACTTCAATAATGGACAAAATCTCTTGAAATAAAAATAAAAGGCATTTACAAAAACACCACATTTTGGGCTTAGGTCTCTATATTTTTCACTAGAGTCTCTGACTCTATATATGGATGGAGCTTTTGGCCGGAGAAATCTTTGCAAGATAAGAAGCTCGATGATAAGTCGATGATGAACCCTTAATTCTTCCAAAACAGCCAAATATCGTTCGAGTGAAAAAAAGAAAAAGAAAAAGATTGAACGTTATGGGAATGTTACTAAATCCATACTAGCAGAAGATAAGTTAGAACTTGAAAAGTTCTTAGATTCCTCGTGTGCTAACAAGAGACAATAACATTCAAAACAAATAACAAAGACACCATAGTAAGTTTATACGGCCAAATTCTTCATTCATTTTGTGCCCACATGATATATGAGCCAATCACCTAGTCTCAAGTATATATGCAAAGTTTATTTCATCCATAAAACATAGAATATATACTTTGAGATAAAATCCTATTTAGCAAAAGATCTAGACATTTAAAATCTTTCCAAAGCATATCAACATCTGCTACACCAAAACATCAGTGGCCTACGAATGAGCGAAAAACTCTACTTCGCAAAAAAATTTCATTGTGAAAAGATTCTACAAGATATTTGACTTTTACATTACTTATCAGAGAAGGTCTGATTAAGTAGCTAAACCGATTTCATAAGGTCGTAAGCAACTCTATATATTACGAAGGTGGCACTAAATTAATTATATGCGAACTAAGCATTTTGCATTTGCGTGAAGCCTAACATTGCACATTTTAATCTTCTTTTAAACTTAGGTTCCGAATAGAGACGAAGCTGCTTGGTGAGAGGTGCAGTTCCAAGATATAGTAACAAAAATATTTTTATGTATATATTTTTGTTACTATTGAAATCGTACCATATATTATTTGTAGTTGAATCACACGTCTCTATTCGAAACTTCAGTGTTCTCCCACACTACTACAAAACCTTAATAGCCGTGTACACATCGGTAACTAGTCAAGTAATTACTCCAATATCCAATAATTAAAAAGAGCAAATTTAGGGAACAAACATGCGCACAAACTTTCAAACATCACCATGATTAGAGTGCACATGTACACCATTCACATTTTTCTTGTTAATTTACCATAAACACTTTTTTCTCTCTTTTATTATTCCTTTTCCACCCATACCTACTTTTTTAACTTTCCAATTTTAAAATTATTCCTCGTGAAAATAGTAAATTCCTTTACACAATAAAGTTCTCTTGAATTTTACAACAATAAACCACGTGGCATTTTATGTGGTTATGATGTGAGAATAATTTGTGATTTAATCGAGATTTGTGAAAAAAGAAACTCAAGTCAATGAAGAAAAAGACTAAAAAATGGCTATGATAAAGAAACAACAACACTCGAAAAAAAAAGCTCTTCTTTTTCTTCCGCACATGTCTGACTCTCTCTCATAAGCGTAAATCTCTCTGTCAAATATCTCTGACCAGAGAGACAGAGTTGCCTCCACGTTTGTCCAGACAAGACCCACGCTCTTCCCTTTCACCACATTCTCTTCTCCTTTTCTCAATCTCACTTAGCTTCTCGATTCTTCTTCCTCCAATTTCGAATCTTCCAAGTGAAAAAAGCTCTAAAGTTTGGAACTTTCTACAGTTTCTTCATCTGGGTCTGCTCTGAGTTTCGTGTGTAGCTTAATCTGAGCTTAAAGCTTGAATTTTTACTTCTGGGTATTGAAATTCTAGGGCTAGTGATTGGAAATTTTGGGAATTTAGGTTGATTTTAGTAGGTTTGACTTCAGGTTGCGGAATTTAGGTTGATTTTGATCTGATTTGTGGAATTAGGGTTTGTTTGTTCATAAAGCTTCAATTTTTGGCGTTTTTCTTTGTTGAAATGGATCGATAACGAAGGTGTTAGAAGAAAGTTTGTTGCTTTAGATTCGTATTCGATAAAGAAATGAGTTTGGTTCCTCCTTTACCGATTTTATCGCCACCGTCGTCAAATTCTTCAACAACCGCACCTCCTCCGTTACCGTCTCAGCCCACCACTCCATCTGCTCCACCTCCGGTTACACCACCTCCTTCTCCGCCGCAATCTCTTCCACCGGTCGTATCATCATCACCACCACCACCACCGGTTGTTTCGTCACCTCCACCGGCTTCTTCTCCACCACCGTCACCTCCCGTCGTTACTTCACCTCCTCCCACCGTTGCTTCTTCCCCTCCACCTCCTGTGGTGATTGCTTCTCCTCCTCCCTCTACTCCGGCGACAACACCACCAGCTCCTCCGCAAACTGTCTCACCTCCACCACCTCCTGATGCTTCTCCCTCACCTCCTGCACCAACAACAACAAACCCTCCTCCTAAACCTTCTCCTTCGCCGCCGGGAGAAACACCTTCACCACCTAAGCCTTCTCCGTCAACTCCAACAACAACCACATCTCCTCCTCCTCCTCCAGCTACCTCTTCTTCTCCTCCGTCTTCAAATCCGACTGATCCTTCTACTTTAGCTCCTCCTCCAACTCCATTACCTGTTCTTCCCAGAGAGAAACCAATTGCTAAACCAACTGGACCAGCTTCAAACAACGGAAACAACACTTCGCAGTCTGGTTCACCAAGTAACAGCGGAGTTGGTACTGGAGGTATTGTAGCTATTGGGGTGATTGTGGGATTGGTTTTTCTTAGCCTTTTTGTGTTGGGTGTGTGGTTCACTCGGAAACGAAAGCGAAAGGACCCTGGAACCTTTGTTGGATACACTATGCCTCCTTCCGCTTATTCATCTCCTCAAGGCTCAGGTAATATAACATATAAGAACACATCCCAGGTTCTATAAAGGCATTTTGTAGTTGGATAATCTAAGATCCTTTTGCATTTAGGGTGCGGTTAGAAACCCTAGTCGGCTTGTTCATTAATGGCTCGAGAACTGTTGAGAGAACTGTGTACTGAGTGTTGTGAGTAGTATGATTAGTTTCAGAAGCTTTAGAAGCATGACACTCTCGCTGAGTTTTGACTGCTTGATTTTGCTTAATGTCCTGATCATCCCCTTTCAATGTAGTTAGCTTCTGACTACTTGTTTCTGTGTCTTGTCGGTACAATGCTGTGGTTATACTTTCAGTCTAGGATATGAGACCAAATATGTAACTAGAGAAGCAGCTATTTTATACGTGCGACAAATAAAAAAGGAAAAGAATGATCTTTTATTTCTGATCGAATGAGTAGATTGTCTCCATGGTAATCATATGCATGAACCAGCACATCCATGAATTTCCTTGTTTGTTAACCGAAAACTCGTGTTGACAGATGTAGTGCTCTTCAACTCGCATTCTTCAGCTCCTCCTAAAATGAGAAGCCATTCTGGTAGCGATTACATGTATGCGTCATCTGATTCAGGCATGGTTAGCAACCAAAGATCATGGTTTTCTTATGATGAATTATCTCAAGTTACAAGTGGGTTCTCGGAGAAGAATCTTCTCGGTGAAGGAGGGTTTGGCTGTGTATACAAAGGCGTTCTTGCTGACGGAAGGGAAGTGGCAGTTAAACAGTTGAAGATTGGTGGAAGTCAAGGAGAGAGAGAGTTCAAAGCAGAAGTTGAAATTATTTCTCGGGTTCATCACCGCCATTTGGTTACACTAGTCGGTTATTGCATCTCGGAGCAACATAGGTTGCTTGTATATGATTATGTACCTAACAACACTCTCCATTATCATCTCCATGGTACATGCCTCATCTTGTTAAACCATAAACTTATCTGTTTATAACTACATAAACTTCAATGCCTGTATCTTCGCAGCTCCAGGAAGACAGGTTATGACTTGGGAAACTCGGGTTAGGGTCGCTGCTGGTGCAGCTCGTGGAATCGCCTACTTACATGAAGACTGTAAGTTACTGCTGCTTTTTGGTTTTTCCATGTTATTTAGTTTTCATAATTTTGTTTCCTTCTTATGTTCTGCTTTTTTTTTGGGTTGGCAGGTCATCCCCGCATTATTCACCGTGACATTAAATCATCCAACATACTTTTAGATAACAGCTTTGAAGCCTTGGTAACATCATATTAGCTTTATTATTATAGTCATTAAACGGTCTTTTTTTCACCACGCTGAACTCTTAAGAAAGTTTTTTCACAGGTTGCGGATTTTGGGCTTGCGAAAATAGCACAAGAACTGGATTTAAACACACACGTCTCAACACGCGTAATGGGAACCTTTGGGTGTGTGTGTATGCATTATTTATTAGAACGTTCTTTGTGTGAAAGTCAACTACTCACAGAAGAACTAACCGATATTAACTGTCAAATTTTCTTAGGTACATGGCTCCTGAATATGCAACAAGTGGAAAGCTGTCTGAAAAAGCGGATGTTTATTCGTATGGGGTAATACTGTTGGAGCTTATAACTGGCCGCAAACCTGTAGATACGTCTCAACCTCTCGGTGATGAGAGCCTTGTTGAATGGGTAAGTACTACTAAGTAGAGTTAAAATTAAACATCATAACTGTTGAGTTTGATCCTAATGGTTCAATCAATTGGTTAAATGAATTGCATGTCTTGTATTATTTTGGGATATACTTTGAATGCTAGTTTTATTTACTCGAATTGCACATACCCTCTTGCCGTCTATCGTGATTTTTTGGCGCTTAAATTGCAGAACAGCTCTTGTTTTACCATATTTCTCTAACTTCCATGATTCAACTAGTGTGCTCTAACCCCCTCTGGTTCAAAACTTGTTCAGGCAAGACCCTTGCTGAGTCAAGCAATCGAAAACGAAGAATTTGACGAGCTAGTAGATCCGAGGCTAGGGAAAAACTTCATCCCGGGAGAGATGTTCAGAATGGTAGAAGCTGCAGCTGCATGCGTCCGACACTCAGCTGCAAAAAGACCAAAGATGAGCCAAGTGGTGAGAGCTTTGGACACACTCGAAGAAGCAACGGACATAACCAACGGCATGAGACCAGGACAGAGCCAAGTGTTTGACTCGAGACAACAATCTGCTCAGATAAGAATGTTTCAGAGAATGGCTTTTGGAAGTCAAGATTATAGTTCTGACTTCTTTGATCGCTCACAGTCACATAGTAGCTGGGGAAGTCGTGACCAGTCCAGATTTGTACCTTAGTAGATTTTTTTATTGTTTTTGCTACTTTCTTCTTTCTTAAACATGTCTTCGATCTTGTATATTCTTTTGCATGATATAATGTATTTTTTAAAATATACATACATACACATAAATTTGATAGTCTTTTGAAGAAAAAAAATTATAGAATAGATTGTTAGTCTTCGTTTTTTTATTTTATTTTGTATTTCATTGAGGGTTTAGTATGATTTTACTATATAAAGCAAAGACAATCTATTAAAGATAAAAGCAATATGGTTTAGATGAGATTGTTGCTTTCTTTAACTGACGAGCGTTTTTCAAGATATAAACCGCGATATCTCCCTCTTCTGGACTTCCTAAGTATCGCGACCAGTTGAAAATTTGTAGACTCGACAACAAGCATTCAGGAACAGGACTCGGTTGATTCCAGCTAACCATACGATAACGCTTATTAAACCTATGATCCTAAGACCACGCAGAAGAATAAGATTAAAACTGTATTAGGCATCAGACAAACAAAAGAGTAGTTTATCAAAGAAACTTACTTTCACCACAGAGATGTCTAATACTCGTAATTTAGGAGAATCCTTGAGGAACTTGCCAAGGAGATTCGACGAATTTTTTTTACACACACATAGGTTAAGATGTTCAAGGTGTTTGAAAACAAAACCATCACCATACACATCCTGGCCACAATATTAAAAATTATTAACAGAGGATTCTACAAATAAGATCGACAATTTGTAGTTGATAAATGGAGACTAATTACCTCTGAACATATTGTTAGCCGCTTGACAGATATGACTGATTCAATAGCACTGTTGAGAATCTTGAGATTAGAGTATCCAACTCTGACATATGCTTCCTTCAGCTTAGGCATATTCTTAATCAAAGAGTAGTGTTCCCAATGATTCAAGTTCACAAGTTTCAAAAACTTTAAAGAAGGAGTATCAATCTCATAACCATCTAAAAACAAATCATCAGGTATAAATAGTGATAAACTCTGCAAAGACTGGACGATAATAGAGAACTCTTTCGTTTTGTCATACTCATAAAAATCCACGGATAATTCTTCAAGAACAGGACAAATAGATAGAAACTGTTGAAGTCCATCTACGAATATCAAATCTTTAAGTTCCAAAGTCTTCAGAGAGGGAAAAACCATAGAGGGAACATATATGAGAGCTATCCATTTGAGTTTCAAGGTCAGGAGTGATTTGCAGGTAAACAAGCTACTCGGTATTATGTTTTCAGTCCTGGAATGATAACAAATATCCAGCTCACGGACATGGCGAGAAACTGCGATTTCAATCCACCGTTTGATATCTTCAGGTTTAATATGTGAGTGCCTAGTTACAATGAGACGCAATCTTTCTATGACTGGAGCTCTATGTATTGGCAACTTCCTATCGATAAAATCCCTAAGTCCAGGCCTTGGGACGCACGTATAAATGAAGTCGAGATTAGGCAACCACATCCAAAGAAACTCCCATCGTTTAGACAAAACGCAAGTGGATACAGCAACTTCTGTTGGAAGAAACGATAATATCTTAATCAGCAAGTCATCATGCAATCCACTGATTTTGTCCATATCAAGATACTATTACTGAACAAGAAAACAACACCAAGAGTCCAAGACTCAATAAGATTTCTCTTGTCAACGAATTATTGACAAGAGAAAACACAGAACACAACACATAAGATAGGAACGGGACAAAACCCTAGAGAAAAAACCTTAGAAGTCCAGTGGAGCACATGTGAACGGTTTAAACATCTAGTGGGCCTGAGCGTGGGCCTGGCTTCATGTGAACTTTTTCTTCACTTTTGATTGGTTCTCCCGAGCCCAAAGATGGTACATGGAAAGTCGTAGGAGAGGAACCGAATATCACAAATATAATGTAATCTATAGTTGTTGCCGGGGGTTTTCAAGTGTTATGACTAGGCCTGCGAGTTCGGGTAAACGGGTCGGGTCGGGTCGGTATTTTCGGGTTTCGGGTTAATTCTGAATTTTTAAATGTATTCGAAGATAACCGAACCGAAATTCGGTTCGGTTCGGTTCGGAAACGGGTTATTTCGGTTTTGTGTATAAAACCCGAAAATAACCGAATTTATTTTTCTTTTTTAAATTTTGTTTTTTTATGGGCTTTTAAATCTAACTAAAGTCCACAAAAATTATTTTGGGTATTATTAAAACCCAACAAAAACAAAGCCCACAAGAAATATTAGCCCATAAACCCTAGACAATTAGGGTTTCTCCTTCTTTGAAACGGTTGCAGCGGCGGCTCTAGTTGCGGTTCCAGCGGCGGCTCTAGTTGCGGTTCCAACGGCGGAGAAGAACGACGGTTTGACATCATAGATCTTGAATCTCAAATCCTTACCCAAACTGAGATCGAGGGATGAAATCGGACAAGAGTCTGAGAACAAGGAATAATCGAACTAACCTTTGCCTATAAGGCTAGAACGAAAGATGAACACATAAGAAAGGCTGAGAATTGAAGGAAGAAGACAAGATTGAGCTTCAATGTCTCAGAGAGATTAGGTTGCGACAGGAAAATTGAGAGATGAGAACGACCAAAGGTGAGAGAGGTTGGAGGCTGAGTGTCGTTTAGGGTTAGAATTAGGTATTTATAGTTAGGTTAAAAATTTCGGTTAACCGATCGGAAAACCGAACCTATCCGACCCGATGAGAAAACCGAAGATTATTTGAAATCCTTCCGATCGGTTTTTGTGTAGTAACCGATTGTGAACCGAATTTAATTTTATCGGTTCGGTCGGGTCAGAATTTTCTGTTCGGGTAATTATCCCAGGCCTAGTTATGACTCTTAAGGGTATAGAGAGCGGAGAGAGATCAAGGGTTTGGAAAGATTTTGTTCAGATTTAGGGGAACTGATTGGTATAGTTATAGTTAACTATGGTGGGAAACTTGCCAAGAGCCAATAGCTCAATTAGAGTGGTTCTTGAGATGGGACCATATAACATATATTGGTCCCAGACCTGAAAGGATGTATAGGTCTAGGCCCAGAACCTCTTAAGTTATTAAGAAAAAAAAGAACTTCGGTTTGAAAGTAAATCTCATACAAGTAAAAATAAGGAATGACAAACTAGTCTTGGCAATGTCAAGACAGAGAGAAATCTGTTTATAACTACATAAACATCAATGCTGACAATGCATGTATATTTGCAGCTCCAGGAAGACCAGTTATGACTTGGGAAACTCAAGTAAGGGTCGCTGCTGGTGCAGCTCGTGGAATCGCATATTCACATGAAGACTGTAAGTTACTGCTGCTTTTTGTTTTTTCCATTATAATTTTGTGTCCTTCTTATGTTCTGCTTTTTTCCGCTGGCAGGTCATCCCCGCATTATACACCGTGACACTAAATCTTCCAACATACTTTTAGATAACAGCTTTGAAGCCTTGGTAACATCATATTAGCTTTTATTCTAGACAGAGCCAAGTGTTTGACTCGACACAACAATATATCTGCTTAGATAAGAATGGTTCAGAGAATGGCTTTTGGAAGTCAAGATTATAGTTCTGACTTCTTTGATCGCTCATAGTCACATAGTAGCTGGGGAAGTCATGATCAGTCCAGATTTGTACCTTAGTAGGTTTTTATTGTTGTTGCTATCTTCGTCTTTCCCCTTACACATGTCTTCGATCTTGTATATTCTTTTGCATGATATAATGTATTTTTAAAATATACATACATACACATAAATTTGGTAGTCTTTTGAAGAAAAAGAATTATAGATATATTTAATAGATTGTGGTCCTTACTTCATATAGTAAAATCATACTAAAACCCTCAATGAAATACAAGTTGACAAGTGGTTGAAGCTCGGGAAGAAAATTCCAACTCCTTTAACATGTAATGGGTTGGAAACAAACATGGTTGAGATAAGATTGTTGCCGTGTTTAAGTGACAAGCGTTTTTCAAGATAAAAACCGCGATATCTCTATCTTCTGGACTTCCTAAGTATCCCGACCAGTTGCAAATTTTGTAGACTCGACAACAAGCATTCAGGAACAGGACTCGGTTGATTCCAGCTAACCATACCATAACGCTTATCAAAAATATGATCCTAAAACCAAGCAAAAGAATAAGATTAAAACCGTATTTAGGAGAGTCCTTGACCAAAAGAGTAGTTTATCAAAGAAACTTACTTTCACCAGAGAGATGTTCAATACTCGTAATTTAGGAGAATCCTTGAGCAACTGGCCAAGGAGATTCCACGAATACGTTTTACACACACATAGGTTCAGATGTTCAAGCTGGCTGAAAACAAAACCATCACCATACACATCCTGCCCACAATATTAAAATTATTAACAGAGGATTCTACGAATAAGATCGACAACTTGCAGTTGAAAGATGGAGACTAGTTACCAATGAACATATTGTTAGACGCTTGACATATGTGACTGATCTAATTGCACTGTTGAGAATCTTGAGATTAGAGTATCCAACATTGACATATGCTTCCTTCAGCTTAGGCATATTCTTAATCAAAGAGTAGTGTTCCCGATGATTCCAGTACACAAGTTTCAAATACTTTAAAGAAGGAGTATCTATCTCATATCTATTTAAATTGTAATTACAAAGTAAAAAGAGTGATAAACTCTTCAAAGACGGGATGATAATAGTGAACTCTCTTAAATTGCCATTGTAAGAAAAATTCACCGATAGATCTTCGAGAACAGGACAATTAGATAGAAGCTGTTGAAGAGATTTTCCATCTACTACTGACATTGTTTCAAGTTCCAAAGTCTTCAGAGAGGGAAGATAAACCATAGAGGGAACATCTATGAGAGCCACCCATTTGAGTTTCAAGGTCACTAGCGATTTGCAGGTAAACAAGCTACTTGGAAATAGGTTTTCATTCTTGGAATCATAATCGATTTCCAGCTCACTAACATTGCGAGAAACTGCACTTTCAATCCACCGGTTGATATCTTTAAGTTTAGTAGGTGAAAACCAATGTAAATGGAGACGCAATGTTTCAATGACTGGAGCTCTATGTATTGGCAACTTCCTGTCGATAAAATCCACAAGCCCAGGCTTTTGGACGTACGTAGAAACGAACTCGAGATTAGGCAACCACATCCAAAGAAACTCCCATCGTTTAGACAAAACGCAAGTGGATACA